CAGTTTATTAAATACAACACAAATTTGTTACCTTAATTAAAAGTCTATAATTGATAGGAGGTGTCATTTTCCATACTATCTCATCCCAAGTCGCTATAAACACAGCGAAAGATACCTTCCCAACCAAGAGCGACCTGCTGAACCCCTTGGTGGCTGATTTGAGCATATTTTGTACTATGAATCTATGATACCAACTAGTAGATGGAATGGTTTTATATTGGAATTGGAACCTATTCCATATTATACTATGTTTACATTTTACAAGTGGTTGGTTTAGTTTTTAGATCCGTATATGCTTTGTTCGGTAGCTTAAATCGGCCCCACTCTCTTGGAATCAAAACAAATGGAGTCGAAGTCCGGCCTGCAATAGTAAATTAGTAATAGTACATTGAACCAAAAGATCCAGTTTTGGACGGGCTTTGGGGAGAATCTTTTTTATTAATTCTTTGGAATCGCTACTGCTCAAAGGTCAACCAAAAACATAAAATAAAAATTAAGTGGGAAGGAAAGAGAGAGTACAGTACACCAACTAATTAACGTTAGGGGAACCAAAACCAAAACCTAGGGAGGGGAATGGACAGGACACCAACTCATAGTCGCTAATAAGATTATCTTTTCCACTTATTTTTTTTATTTCGTTTTATTGTGCGAAAGCTTCGTTGAAATAATAATAAAATATAGTGATTACGAAAGATGAACAATAGTCTCCTGAAGGCTATAGAGAGAGGACATAATTAACCATATGTCTCAAAAATATATATATCCATTATGATTTTACCGGCAACAAAACAAGCCGGTCAGTCTTGATGGCTTGGTGGGATCGTTAAGCAGATGGTATTTGTTAGTGACGATCGGTTTGATGCATCTGCGGTTCCGGCAGGCTGTAATTTTGATTGGGTTTCCGCATGGTAGTAGAGCTTGTTGATATAAGAGATTATAATTATATCATGGGGGTAAGAATATATTATTGTGCATAATGATATTAACAACATGTGCGCGCCCACATCTAATTACTTCAATATATTTCGATGAAGTAGAAGAGTTCATTATAAATTTTAGATCAAATGAATCTTATAGCTAGCTAGCTAGCTAGCTCGAGTTTAGAGAATTTGAAATTTGAAGTTAACTCATTTAGAAATTTTTACGGCACATGATATCTTATTCCGAACTCATATCAATTCATAATTTAAATAAAAAAATAAACCGGTGAAAATGCTAGCACATGCTAAGCAAGCTTTTATTTTTGTATTATTTCCTGCTAGCTAAGGTAGAGGGCATGACGGGGGCTTAAAACGAGGAAGCAAAGCGAATGATGTTAAACAAAAACAAATGGAGAATCTGCCGTTGGAAATATTGCTGGAGATACTCTCCAGGCTACCAATCTCTTGTCTCATCCGACTCAAATCGGTCTCCAAATCCCTCCGCTCCGCAGCCGAAAACCCTCGACTCCGCCCCCTGTATCTGGCCCACGCAAGCCGCCGAGACCCGTCCATCCTCCTCCACTCCCACGGCGGCCAGCTCCACCGCCTCGTCCTCGCCGACGACACCACCAACGCACTACTCAGGATCGGCGGCGACCAGGACTTGGCCAGACTTGCCCCCGCTGGATCCTGCAACGGCTTCTTGTTATTATGCAACTCCGATGCAGCAGCCGAGAATAATACCAATTCTTCTTCTTCTTCTTCTTCTTCTTCTTCATGGAGTAGTGCTGCTGCCCCGCCGGTTTGCCTCTGGAACCCATTGACGGGGCACCAGATCCAGTTGCCCCCGGCCCCCACGGCCGCCGGCTTCCCCGAACCACTGCACGCGGCGGTGGGGTTGGGTCCCGATCCAACCACCTCGGCGCCCAAAATCGTCCGAATCCTCTACTACAACCGCCCCACTATGTTCGGCTTCGTCTGGACTTCCCAGGTTCGGTCCGGTCCGGTCCGCTCGTTTAATTGTTTGTTGTTGCGTTTATAATTAAATTAATTAATGCATCGAATGCTTTGGATTTTGGGTTTGTTTGTGTTGATTGAATAATTGATTTTGGAATAGACGGCAGAAAGCAAGCATGGAAAATGAAATTGGTTTCATTTTGGGATATCTTTTGGACTAGTAGTGCTGCTGCGGCAGAGAGAGAGGGAATTTGAAGGAACTCTTTTATTTATAAATTGTTTTTCATTAAAAGGTAGTACAAAAAACTCTGTTCATCAGAATTGTACTACAGTTATGAGGATAAATCAAAGGAGCTAGTAGAGTATTTGATTTCGTCCGTCGGTCTGCCTGTGTCGTGTTTTATGGTCGTGCTCTCGAAATTTTTTCAGAGTTGTCCATATGTCATCGATAGTTTGCGCGACGCGGGTTGCATACGAACTATCGTGTGTGTATGATTAGAGTCGGTTTTGTAATATGCGAGTTTCCATGTCATTTTGGGTTTAACTTGGCTTGAAAATTAGAAAAACTCAGATCGAGTTGATTTTCTACCACATACTAACATGTCCTTTCAAACGAAATCGAACTCATATGAAGGCGTGAAGTTTGTACATATCTGAATATCATGAGCTTAACAAATCAGGGTCATCAAGATTCAAACACAAGACTTATTAATCACAAAAATCAAGAATCAGTTGGTATCAATAAACGGAGATCGAGTTGCAATTAATTATTAATCTCATTCTCATATATATATATATATATATACCTCCTCGTACATCAGTTGTGTATTCTATATATGTATATTCCTTCCTCTTTTCTTAAATCGTGGTTTGATCAACAATTACAATCAAGCTGCATGAACGTACGGTCCCGACAGGTTCAGGTACTGACCGTCGGCGGCGCGTGGAGAGAGATGGGGAGGACGGTGTGGAATCTGAAACCAGGGCCAGCGGAAGCCACCTTACAGCTGGTAAACAACACTGCAGCTCTCCACTGGCTCACTCTGGGTCTGGTGGGACAGGGGAGCAGCAGGGCAGTGAAGATTGTTTCGTTCGATTTGAGGGAAGAAATGTTCCGTGAGATCGCTTTCCCGGCCACATGCTTCGAGGGCTTGGGCCGGGACCGCTACACTATCTCCCACCTGGCGGAGCTCTCCGGCCGCCTCTCCGCGGTGGTCTCCGGTCCTCCCGACCACGAGGCGACAAGTCCCCTCGAGGTGTGGGCGATGAAGGAGTACGGCGTGAAGGAGTCGTGGGCCCGAGATTTCGTCATCGGGAACCATCACTCGCCTCCTCCGCCCCTGATGAATCCGACGTCGTATGAAGGAGGACCCCTTCGAGTGCTGTGTAGAATCAGGAGGAGCACTACTACTAGGGCGGTGTTTTTGGTGCAGTTCGGCGGCGGCGGCTTGGCTTCCTACTGTCCTGAGAATCAAGAGCTCAAGGAACTTGTGGTGGTCCCTGGGCTTCCACGATTCTTCTCGGCGGCGCTCCATATGGAAAGCATGTGAATTCAATTGAATTAAATTAAAGGTGACCGGCCAGCAACTTGGTTTGTGGTCCGACACTCTCGGTATATTCGATTCGACGCGCGCGCAAGACGATAAATAAGCGAGTATGGTTTTTAAAATGTTGCTCTCCTTAATTTCACTCTTCTTGAAATTTCAACTTGTACGCTCCAGTATATGTATACTCTAATACTCTATATATGTTCGCCCGGTCCAGTCCAGTCCAGGCCGACAACTTTTCAATACAATGAAAATGTTTTTGGTGCAGAGCAAATCAATTGCATGAAAGAGTTATATGAAATGCTATTTCCCCCCCCCCCCCAACCAATAAATCTTAGATGATTACTATCTCTGATTTGGATTTTAAAATTTCAATAAATCTTGATGATTTCTATCTATCTCAAAGTTTTTCAATGAATCTTTATGATTTCTATCATGTGACAAAACAAAAAAAAAAAGGTTGGGATGTTATTATGTTACATCTGCACGGAACTCAAAAGTATTATAGAGCATTTCAACAAAATAAATAATTGGAGCAACCTGATTAATTAAATTCATTCGCATTGGACGGGGCCTGGGGAATCTGCGTTTTCTTTTTCTGGTGGATTCTCTGTGTTAGAATTACTTTAACATATGTAATTCTCTGAAAATTCATCTTGCTAGATGTCAAAGGTTTCATAGAAATATCCGGAACCATATATGTTGTTGATCGCCAAAAGCTAGATGCGGAATCTGGAAGACGATATGGAACTGGACGATACTCCTAGAGCACCGATCCAGGAAGTTATGTGACCTTCCTCAACCAAGCCTCCTCGGTTCCATTACGGGATTCTCTCATCTTCCTGATGGGGAGAAGAAGAGAGTGTTTGGTCTTGGTGTATTGGGGACCACAAGTCCACAACCTCTAAATCTCCTTATATACTATTCACCATGGGCTTGGGTTGGGCTCACATAAGACTCAATGTGACTAAGTATTGGATTTCCACTCATTGAACCCATATTGGGTTTGAGTAATCATGGGCTTCATATATTGACCACCTATAATTAACCCATCAAAACCAAATAATTAACATATGTGTTGTGAATTTGCTTATGTTAGAAAATGAAATTCCTGACACTGTTCATCCCACCCCTCATCAACCACCAAACCAAAACCCAAGCGGGGAAAAGAAAAACTTCCATAGGATAGGAAAGGAAAATGACACCAACTAATTATTATCACAATTATATATAGGCCAGTTGCTCATATAGCATTTTTATGGCGGATCCGGTAGCAACCTCGTTATACTGAACATACATATGTTATATTAATATCAATTCTATTTTAAATCAAAACTATCCGGCATTTTTATATCAATCTGGTGTGATAATATTTTGATTCACAAACTATCCTTAATTTAATCTTGACCGTCATTTAAAAAAAAAGGAAAAAATAAAACTAATGAAGAATTTAGATATAGGTAGCCGCAATGGCTACTAAAAAACATGGATCAACAGTAACATTAAAGCTGAAAACACAGGAGTTGACTTCGGCCTTATTTGCTGGCTGATTTGGAAACAACGAAATGAGGAGGTTATGGATGGTAAGAGCTACTTGGAGGACGGTTTGATTTGCAGGATCAAGGCGTGGTTCAAAATTGCTGAACAAGCTAAGCAGAATTCTGATTTGTGCTCTCCCCCATCGAACACTCATCGGATGGATCTTCAAGTCGGCTGGAAACCACCAAGAGAAGGTTGGGTTCAAGTTCAGACTGATGGCTCGGTTTTGGGGGATTCTCTTGCTGCTGCAGCAGGTGGTCTTATAAGAGACAGATTTGGTAGATGCTTAGATGCCTTCTCATGCAACCTTGGTGTCTGCTCTATCACAAGTGCAGAGCTCAAGGGCGCGACTGTTGGGCTCGAAAGAGCTTGGCAGCTCGGATTCAGAGCTGTAGAGTTAAATCTTGACTCTCAAACATCCATTAATATCATCAAGAATTGGCACGATGATGATCACCAGCACGGTTTGTTTGCCAGCAAGATTGGGCAGCTACTCACTCGTGACTGGCAGGTGGAAGTGAAGCATGTTTTTAGAGAGTGTAACTACTCTGCTGATTTTTTGGCTTCTAAGGGTCACTGTCTTCCTTTTGGCACCCATTATTTCGATGTGTGCGACCCTCACCTGTACCACTGGTTATTGTATGACGTTATGGGTAGTACCATGACCCGTTCTATTAATATGATGATCTAGGACGCTTTCGTCCTGCTTTTTACCAAAAAAAAGAAGATCAATCACGCCATGGAGTCGCAAAGATGGCTTCAGAAAAAAAGGAAAAAACATCACCTGGCGCGGAAAGAGTGGGTCGCATTAAATAATTGAATTGGGCCGGGTTTAAAGAAGCGGGTTGGGCTTTTAAATTTTGCAATTCGCTTGGGCCAGAAGGAGAGAAGGAGGGACACAACTGGCGGTGGCAAGACCTTAGCCCATGGGCCTTGGTAACAAACGCTGACATGGTCAGATGGCACATTCGACAAGATCAACGCAACTTGATGGTAACATTGACCATATACCAATGTCAACACAGAGTCATTCACAACGAGAGTTACTTCACATGGATTTAAATCGAGTAACCTTTGATCAACGAGTGCTCTAATACACCTTACATCAAACTAGCTTGATGGTTAGGCTTTCTGTCGCCACAAAAATCGAGTGAACTTCATCAAAAGATCAATCAGAAAGTTAAACCGATCTCCTTCATAGGTTCTTCACTCCAAGTTCAGTAAACGCTTTCACCAGCATGTCCATGTGTGCAGGTAAGGAGCTCTTAAACGTTGGCGAGCAGGTCTTGTCGCCTTCTTCGAGATCCTGGATTCCGCCCTTCAGCAGACACCCGACTTGAGCACCGGACATGTATGCTTTGCACGCCACCGTGATGTCCTTTGCCCGGCTATGGAAATGGCCCTTCACGAAATCCTCGAAATGCTGCAATGGACACAAACATTGATTGAACTATATGGATGTGAAGAACTGCAGAAAGTTGTACAATGATGAAAATGAAGCCTTTTTTTTTTTTTTGGCCTTTTCCAGATCGTTTTAAGTCTTTCGACTAGGTCTAGAGTTGTTCATACATGGATCCAAAACACACAGGTTCATTCCAGGTCTAGATATGTAAAATAACTATCTGAAGACCATAATATAATAGACCAAACCAGTGTTCAAAGTAACTCAATAGTCAACAGTTAAGGGAAAGGCCAAGTTCCAAAAGACACTTACTTTTGGTGGCTTCCTCATTGAATAACCCATTGTCTTGAGCGATAAAAGCAATGTCCTCTCATTGTACTCTAGGGACATCATTTCACCTGTAGTTGTGCCCTTTGACGGTTCCCAGCCAGGTTCATTAAAGTAGGGCTTTTGATTCAATATCAACGCTTGTATAGAAAGCAGAACCTGCATCACATTTGAAAATCTAGGCTGCCAGTTCTCATTGTTGCTACCACGCCATGTTCCAAGAAGGCTGAGGCAAACATATCCGTTTGCATATAAGTTTGGGTTTAATCTAAGACCACCAGAATGGTAATGGACTTTCTGATAAAAGGGAAAACAAAAAAAAGGCAAAGAGTTGTGAGAGGAGGTGCAATGGAATAAGGTTTGATCCACAACATGAATAGAACACTACATACCGGTGGAACACTTGGATAGCTATCAGGGAAGAAGATATCAAAGAAAAACAGACCATCGTGGTAAGGAGTTCCGTCTGCGCCAACAATGACAGCCCTCATTAGATCCATCCTTGACTCGTAGGCCCTCACATATATGGTTTCTGTTTACGTCAACAAATATTCACAGACCATATTTAAGTAATGGTGTTATAGAACCAATTAGTTACCAAAAGAAACAGAAACTGAATTCGTGGATGCTGAAAGGAAAAACACAGTATGAAGCTTGCCTGGCAAATCTTTCTCCAGAATTTTCCACTCGTCTTGAATTCTTTTTGCCCACTTCTTCTCAGTCTGGCAGAACAAAGGAGAAATTCATCATATGAACTTCAAAAGTTTATAACTAAGAAGACTGGGTTTGATAGATTTGAAAACTAGACTTGGGAACGAAAGGACATATTTTTTGGTTCCTCCCCTTTCATGCAGAAGAGACTTGTGTTGGATCCCTTTTCGATCATCTTCACCCGAAAACAAACTATTCGAAGTGTTCTCACAGAACCAGAGAAGTAAATATTTACATAGAATCACCTGTTTTGATGAAGAAGACTGAAACTGATGGTCTGAATGGCCTTCAACGATATCGAAATGCTTGAAGATTTTCAACTTCCTTAAGATTTCATCATTTAAAGCACTTGGAACTCCAGGTTGCCCTCCTGCAACTGCAAGTGGCATGTATAGAGCATGATAATTGACAATCAATACATGGTTGACTTTCAGTCTAATTCTGCATATCTTATCTAGAAATGAAAGACACGATGGTTGAACATAACGGAGGAAGATATTCAAATGCACCCATACGTGCAGAACTTGGAGCCACCGGTCCCTTACTACCGCCTCTTTTGCTTCTGGTACTCCTAGCCAATGGCTCTTGACCAATGGCATGAATGTCTTGGGGCGATACACTACCAGAAATATGTGAATCTTTTAGGGCAATCCCTCCGTGCTGGGAAGAAGTCCACTTCTTCATATTAGGGGTAGATGTCGACTTCCAGAAGCGAGGAGGTACATAGATTACATCCTGAGAATCAAGTCAGATTACATATAGAGGTGATTTGGAGATGATGATGATGATATGGTGATGGTATATGTGTCTTGTATACCTGAACTTTCACGTCATTCTCATCCTCAATCGCTTTGCCTTTCCCTTTTTTGCGAGCGTTCTCATCCAGGATCACCGCATCAGTGAGAGAATCGTACTCATCAACATCTATGATATCAGGGAGCACAGCCTGTAAAGAAATTATCACAATCAAAAACATGTTACTTAAGAGGAGAAATCTATTCGATGCTGTCAAATAACATCCACAATAAGTAACAACATTGCAAAACATATATCCGTGTAACTCAACCGCGTGCATATTCTTCTGCAACCGACTGTAGGCCATAAGGAACCAAGGGCACAACATGCAGAGATTAAAGGTTAGCTCAGGTTAAAGTTTCCCTCAAACTAAAGGAGTGTACTGTACAGCATTAAAGATGAGTGACAATTTGAAGAGATAGTGAAGAAACTGCCAGCTAAAGTAGAATTCGACTACCCTAATAGGCAATATTCCAAACATCACCACTCTCTTTATTAGGGTTCTGCATTGTTGCTCAGGAGTTAGCTGATCTAGAGAGTAAAGAGGTCCCCATAATTTCATTACGGCTTGTATTGCAGAAACAGAAAGAGGCCAATCATCAATCGCTATTAAGAGTTCCTAATAAACAACCATCTCTTTTTGATTAAGAAACCCAACCTGCTTCTGTTTTCTCTTCCTGGTAAAGTGGGAAGGCGGGAGGGAGAGCGGGGAAATCTCTACGACATCGGGATCGGCGTCCTCCATTGGACCAGCCATTGCTTCTTTCCGGTGGTTTCCCTGTTTTCAGATTCTGTGATGATAGTAGATGAAAACAAAGAGTGTTGTTAGAGATATTCGGAATTTATAAAGGGGACTGAAATCAAATCAAGAACAAGGTGTAAAGAAACGTTTTGGGTGGAATTCTGGTGCTGATAGTGGAGACCGCTAAGAGAACAAGGAGACACCGGCGCCGGCGGCGTGCGGCGGTTCCGGCTCGCTATATCGAAGAGTTGTAGAGTGATTAGGGGAGAAGAGAAAGAGATTGCTTAACAAATTACAACTGAAAAGGCGCGGGATTATTAGGAAAAGAAAAGAAGCCGGGCTTTCGATGTTGTTCGATTGGGCCACGAGTAGGGGAGTCGGGCCGAACTTAAGCCCATGGACCTCAGAGAATTTAGCTGGTCTTAACATGATTGCCTCTCATGTTTTTCGACTCTCTTATATTTTCAGAATGGGTAAATGACACATTTGGTCACTGAGATTATTAAATTGTGTCATGTTTAGTCACTAGAAAAAATTAATATCAATTTTGGTCACTCGAATTACCGAAACTGGTCAAATTTAGTCACTCTCCCGTCAGTTTCCGTCCAACTCCATTAATGTAGTTGGACGGAAACTTTTGGGAGAGTGACTAAATGTGACATGTTTCAGTAATACGAGTGACTAAATGTGACATTTTTCAATAATTCGAGTGACCGGAGTAGGACAAAGGCTACAGAAGAGTGACCAAATGTGACCTGTGTCAGTAATTCGAGTGACCAAAATTGATATTAAATTTTTCTAGTGACTAAATATGACACGATTTAGTAATCTCAGTGACCAAATGTGTCATTTACCCTTTTCAGAATACACCAATGAGATAGAAGTTTGTAGGAAGTATTCTAATACAATCTGATTGAAACTCAACTAGTCTCCTCACTTGCTAGAATAGAAGGCCTAAAGTCACTTCCCAGAGAGGAGGCATTTTGTTAAGAAACAGTCGGTTTGTACTATTATACTACACCATTCAAGAATATCTAAAGCAATAGGGATCTTCTGTTACAAGGGCATATAGCATTATCATATTTAAGGCACTTGCTTTTGTTCTCCGTCCAATCTCTTGAGCAGATACTCGACCTCGACGTCCTTCGTTAGAGGCATCACCCACTTCTCATAGAGCTGAGACACAAGAGATGGATCAATCTTGTACTTGCCAGTGCTTTCTGTGTCATTCAGGCTCACATATTGTCCAAACACCATCCCTTTCTTCTCAACCCTTCTCATCACCATCTCCTCTTGCTTCTTGAATGTCAACAAGTTCATCAGAGCATTCCTGTCCTGCAATTACATTTGACAAAAAATGCTAATTTTGAGTGTGCAAATGCTAGTAACTAGTTCGTCACAATAACTCAAGTAGTCAAGAATCGGTTCATTCTAATAGAGGTTCACATTGAGCTATGATTTATGATTGAGGCCCACCTAAACCTGAATCATCCTTTCGTGTCTGTGACATGAAAGTATCCTAAACCCAAAGCCATTGCATGAACCTCTTAATAGATACCTTGGCACGAATTAGAGGCTCGTATTCATGAGGTGCTTCCCGGTACTTAACTTCAGCCACAAATTTCCCATAATGAATCCTCCTAGAGAGTGCCTGCCAAGGAAGCAGTATTGAAAGAGTTGTATTGGTACTATATATCATAATGTTGCACCATCGAACCAGAATCTGATAGTCAAGTCAGATCATTTGTGTTGCTGCAGACACATCCAGTCCTCAGTTACCTGTAACAACTCGATATCGCTAGCAGAAGTTGCAGCATAATTACCATCATCCCCTGGTTTGACTAACAACGGAAGGAATTTGTTGAAGTAGACATCCCAAATGATGCTGTTCACGTTAACAGAAGCAGCAGGGAGATGCAGGAACTGTATACACATTGATTGATTGTTGAAGCAACACAGACATGTAGTCAGTTTGTTTCCCTCTCAGTGTATTAATGTCTCTATATAAACCTAGACAAATGGAGTAACCCTAGAGCCAGTCAACTTACCACAGGATATGTGCGATCTTGAATCACTGATGGTGGAAGATTCTCAGGAAAGAAGGGGGTTTCTTCCGGATTTAGGTACCTCCCAGCCTGGTTACACATAACAAGGCTCTCTCGTCAGTGAATTCGAGAAAACCAGTACTTTTCAGTATCACAGTGACGTTGTTACCTTGGCTTGAACAATTTCAGTTTGCTTGAAAAGGAATTGAATCAAAGTGCCAGGAGATCCAGGGACCAACTCATATTTCTGATCGTAGAGTCGAGAATTCAAGGGAAACTTGGCTCTCTCTATCAACCTGTACACAATGGTGTCTTCCTGGCCAGTTAAAGACTGTCTCACTGAGTCGAGGGTGAATTCTGCCGTTTCCAGTAAACTCCTTTCTTCTACTGCTGTCGCCATACAAATAATGCACCTACTAAACGCCATTACAGCAAGCATAATCAGAACAAGAGAGCGACCCATGGTCCCGGAGGAAGAGGAAACCAGACCACCAGACGCCATAATCTTATTTATCTAGGTTCTCTCAACAACAGAGAAAGAAAGAAAGACAGAAATTTGACAACGACCCACGAATCAATAGGCTCCGAAAATCATGGGAATGGAACCATAATGCCAAAACATGTCCACGAATTATTAGAGAGAAGAACATCAAACAGAGCTAACAGAGGGCGATCGAGTTCTTTTCTTTCTCTATCTCTCTCTTTGTTTGTCCTTCTCAGAGAGAAAAACTCGGATTCTTGGAGGGTGTTGAAGGGTGTAGCTCAAGAATAGGGTAGCGAGAAATTAGGAAGGGAAGGAATCAAACCTGGTTTTCTGTAATGAATGGCGAGGAATCCAGTCGGCGTAGGAATTTCCGGCGCGTTGAGAGCTGCTGGATTCGCTGAAGGCGGGTCAGATGGAGATTGAAGACGGGAATGTCCTGCGATTCAGGAATTTTTGTGGGGAAGAAAAAAAAGGGGGACTCTGGTTACGAAAAGTATAGTGGCGTGTAGTTGAGCAACGGAACAAACGTAAAGCCAAAAGTGGTGGGTGTGGGGAACTGGGAATGAAGGAAATTGCGCACCAAAATATGAGTGAAGGGAAAATTGATAATACTCGATAATATGGATTTTAAATCAATGGTTTTGGTTGGTTTATCACACCAAAAAAAATATATTGTTTTTGGTTAATTTAATAGCAGTGGGTGATTGATGATTTATCCAAAAAAAAAACAGTGGGTGGTTTAGGTGATGAATTTTTCAAATGATTCAATTTAATTTAATTATATTTTTAAATTGTTTCATCTCAACACCATTTCACAATAATTATCCTTCTGTTGTCATTTTAAATGGAAACAAAATGAGATAATTCAAATTGTCTTATTCAATTGATACATTCTCATTTTGTGTTGCCAAACGAGACGATTTCACCGAATTGCTTCATTTCGAGACAGTTGGACCAGATTATCTTATCAATTCGATCATTCAAACGACACCTACATATACTTTATCGCTTTTATGGATTGACAGATAATGAAAACAATGAATGCATGTACAAGTTAAGTTGAATTATCAATTAACTATCAAATCTCAATGATAAATCGAAGAGGGTCACCTATCATGAGATTAACGATTTTCTCAAATCAGGATGAATATTAACTAGCAATTAAATCAACAATTTGTCAATGTAAGCCCCAATATCATTAATCAAAGTGAAAGCAACCTCTTCTTCTTCTTCGTGTACAGGTAGGTCACGGGATTGCCATGACCGAACAAGAGAATCATATCCTCGTGTATTTAATATATTGCAGATAGAACGTTTTTAATCAGTTTCGGCAAAGGAACATAATACATATTTAATAATTCAACTTACCTGCTGCTGCTGCCATCCTCATTCATTCTCTCCTCCTCCTGCTGATAACTCATATATACTATACGTGCGCGGCAGTCTCTATCAAGCCAGACAGCCATGCAAAAGAAACCAAACAAACACCCAAATATAACGCAAAATGGCCCGGCGTGGAGATAAGAAGATGAAAGAAAAAGGGAATTATTTGGTCAATTGTGCAATTGGTCATTCAACTTTTGAGTCACCAATAAATCGTGCACTAAACTTTGGAAATAACTTTTTTGTCTTTTTTTATAGTCTTGTTTTGGAAGAACTATTGATGTTTCCGCTCATTTTAATTATTATTTAATGCTATATGAGATCTACGAAAGTGTCGTGGAAGACACATTTAATGTCCGTAGCTATCTCATGCGAAGCTCATTGTATCATTTACCTCGAGCTCCACTTGCATCATATGCAAAACCACTTAATCAGAGAATATATGATTTTATTTGTTATCGATTTGGACGAGTCTGAAACACTAATTTGGAAAAAATTAACTAATATTGTCATTTATGGTTTATTTTAAAATAATTTATAGGTTTACCTTGTTTGAATATGATATGAAAAATAAATACAACCTAGTCGTGTGCTTCATAAACTCCGGTGACTAGTTCGTAAAACATCAAAGTTTATACAGCCAATTTCTTTAGTAAATCTAACGTCTAGGGACTAATTATGTAATTGACCCGAAAAAGAAAAAAAAAATAAAGTACCACACCACGCCTCTTTTTAGAGTCCCTCTCCAAGCCGGAAATTATTAGTTCAAAAATTTCCCTCCAAACTCCTCAATTATAGTCCAGAAAGTAAATAAAAGAATTCTTCTCCCTCCGGTCCCCAAATCTCTCACATCTCTGCAATTAATTCCTTCGCCTAACCAAATTCTTCTTTCAATTTTAACTTCTCCGTCGTGGAAATTCGATCATCATTCATGACCACCACAAATCCAGACTCTTCAGTTCCTCCAAATAATTCCTCATTGCCGGCCGCCGCCACAACCGCCGGCCAAGTTCAGCTGCGCATGTCTGATTACCTGGCTCTTCCTCAAGACGACGAACCGGACGAAAAGTCTCTCGAAACCCACACCCAACATCGCGATCTGAGGAGTTTACTGATGGGTGAAGAAGGTTTCTTCCAAGAAGATCGTCGCCGGGTTTCGTACTGTTCGTCGCCGCCGTGCCGTCTCGTCGCCCGGTGGATGTCCTGGATAAGACGGGTGAAGTTCAAGGGAATTTCGAGGAAGTGTTGCAGGAGAGAAACGGTGGGGAATAGAGTAGAGGCGGGTGTGCAGCCCAGGTGTTTGACCAATGGCCTCAATGACGGTATGTAGTTTGGTAGATCACAATTCAAAATCGTTGTTTTCTAAAAGGAGTCGGCTTTTGCGAGTGCTCTGAATTTGAAACCCTAGTGGATTTTAATTTCTTTTCTTTCTGTCCAGTGGGTTGCAGGAAGGAGACTTGTTTTAATGCCGGGATTGGAGCTTATCTGCTGTACTTAGTTGCCGCGACGAGAAACGAACTGGACAGGTTCAACGCTGCCCGGGTGGAAATGGAGGCGATTCTACAGAATACCATACAATTACAACGGAGGCGAAGCGTAGAGGTAGACGGTGGTGACGATGATGTTCTATTTGAAGTCTCGATCAGAAAATCTGTAGTAGAAGAAGATGATGGTGATGGTGATGATGATGATGAGTGCGAGGCAGAATTCCCCACAAATTTGTATGCCTTGCCAGCTGCTGCTGCTTCTTCTGCCTCCTCGTCAAATGTGGTTTCAGGTAGTGAAACCCCAAAAAGGGAGGATTTTGCAGAGGACATGGAACAGCTAGAGGCGGAGCTCGAAGCTGAGCTTGAACTGTTGCAGCTTCAATTGGATGGAGATACGTCGATGGAACAATCTCAGTTTCTGAGGGTAAGAGTAATTGACTTGTTGAAATACTTGTAGGCATCCAATTGAGCTCTTTCTCTTAATTCAGTAATGGTGGTTAGTGTTAAAACCCCAGCTCGTTCACATAACTTGAATTGTCGAGAAATGTTAAAAAAATGGAACTTGTACCATTTTGATGTGGTGCCTACTGCCTAGTATGTGGCTTGATCTCGGTTTGAATCCTGTTCGTGTAAAATATGTATTCAGTTGCAAGTTTTTTGTTTTTGTTTTCCTAATGACACAGGTGACGAACAGGGATGAAACAGGATCATCAAAATCCTACAGTACGACCTCGACCGAAGAAGAAGAGGAGGAAGAAGTGATTGATCCAGAGTATGGGGAGGAGGATGCTGAGTGCCCCAATGCCATCCACCCTTACGAATTGGCAAGTAAGCTGCACGAAGTGCTGGAAGCAAGACAGCAAGAAGAGATCAGAGAGCTGGAAGCTGCTCTGGAACTGGTGAAGCGCAAGCTTGTAGAAAAAGAGTTGCAGGTCGCTTGGTGGAAAGCCGTGGCTAGAGGAAGAAGGCTCAGTATTGGTAGTTCACAAGAAGTGCAGAGCTAGCACAAACAACGAAGTAAGGTCAGGTTCCATGGGGTAAGAAGGTCGAATCCCTGGTCACATTGTGATTCTGTTCAGCAACTTTTGTACAGGGAGCTCTGGTCTCATGAGCCTTAAGAGAAAATGATTACAGTTTTCATGTTGATTGCAAATGTATACAGATTACAGAATTTGAGTGGATTAGAGTGAGTTGTTGAAAGATGTTGCTTATGTCGGCAACTTTAGCGTGTTTTCGATTCGATGGATATGTTTGTTTGGGGAGCGTGGGCCGTTTGTCTTTGTCAATGTAGAGCCTTGTAATTGGCTCCAATTAAAAAATGTTGAAAGAGGTTCTAACTGCAACAAGGTTGGCGGCACGTCTAAAGTCTAAACCTTTGTCCTGTCTGTTTTGCCTGTCCCTGACATAAGTGGACCTCCTTTAAACAAAGGCAAAGAAGAAGAAAAAAGGCTTCTAAATTCTAATCAATCAATTGGTGTGACAGTTAACAATATTCATTAATGTTAACATTAACCAAATCCTTCATTAAAGAAAAAAAAAGAACATCAACCAAATCTTTAGAAGATAATGGGATTTGATTTTAGTGATAAGCCGACTAATAAAATGAAGGTTAGTATGATATAATTTCGTATTTTACTCATGCTCTTTTTTATATTTTGAGACTAAATTCTTGATGATGGCCATCTAACCTGCTCTCATAATTGTTTCAAGTATTTACAATAACTATGTAGTCTCGAACTTGTTCACCAAGATCCTCCAAACTTGATTCGGGTCGTAATTTTTCAAAATACTTACAAGAACCGTGTAGTCTCGAACTTGTTCACCTAGATCATCTGAACTTGATTCGGGTCATTCGAGATTAAGGTCAACTGAAGTTTGGGGCCACTAACGCAAAGAGAGAAAACTAAACACGTCTATAACACCCAGAGGCAAGACCTTCAAAACATTATCATGTACAGCCAAAAAGACAGTGCGGGTGATATGTATTATGTAAGATAGTTTCAATGCCAAACCATTGATCAGCAACAGCAGGTGTTCCTATCTACAACCCTGAATACTTTTCATAAAGTGAGCACGTTGACCACTAAGAGAACATTCAAGTAAGGCTACGAACTATATACGTCTACATCATTAAGCTCAACAAAACACCAACGATTTACACCATGCTGCCTTGCCTAAGAAGGAACTTCTCTCACGTCAGATGCCGTTAATCGATGATTTAGAGATGCGATCGTTTCAGTCGGCTTCAAGCTCGGCACCGAACTGCTCCAACCGTTGGGCATCGGCATCATAATCGCGTACTGTCGTATGATTAACCACTCCGTCGTCCTCGCTTGCGTGTACCTGTCGACCACCAAACCTGCAAAAGAAGTGTTTGTAGCATTAAATTACAACAGATCAAAACTTGTGTTTGCCAAGTGAAATATATACCAAGCGGAAACGGACACGATTTCGACAACAGACATTGGCAGTTCTCGGGGTTCATTCTTATGTAACATGTGATTAAGGAACTTAAGCATTTCGCAGATAACAGACTTACCATCGTCCGTTCATTGTTTCTATGCACTTTTGAGCATCCTTCCTATCCTTAAATCTGACCAACACAACCCCTTGAGGGTGATTTACACAGACCTGAAGAGGAGGGGACAATCATCAGGACAAGGTAAAGTGTGAGCATTTTGGGTGGGATGGGATCATAGCATCGATTTGAAGTAAGAAGAATAAGTACTGATCAGTTTCAAGATCTGGCCAAATTGCAAATGTCAAGAAGAAGAACAACTGATCAAAATGAGAGAGAGAGAGAGAGAGAGAGAGAGAGAGAGAGAGAGAGAGAGAGAGAGAGAGAGAAGCACACCAAGAAAATGGCTTATGAACACAGGACAAGTACAACAGTGGAAAAAATTGACAAAATGGACCAGCACCAGAAGGACAAAAAGAATCCTTAAACATTTCAATTACCTTGACAAAATCAATCGGACCTAGCTTTAGGCATTCCTCTTTAACATCCTCTTCTAGCTCAGAACACAGATTTTCATCAGCCTACAAAAAAAAAACCAGTTAAATGGTTGTTCTGTTTATGTCACAAAATGGTCATGAACAATATCTTCATGACCATGTCATCTATTGAACATGAAAATCACGACAAAAAAAAAAACAAAAGAGAAGGCTGATCAGTAGTTCAAGGTTCTATACCTACCCTCATCTCAGCAGGAGCAAACATGTACCGCAAAACAACTGTAGACGGAATGGAGATCTTGGCATCATCACGTCCCCCTTTATATAGAAAATGGAACATATATCAGCTACTGAAAAATCACATCATATTTCTCCAATAAATAACGAAGTGTGCTCAGTAACGGTGAGCAGAAGAATTGGCAACAATTTCACATCGAACATGTGATAATATCCGGCTTATCCATTCACGTCAACTAATGTGATACAGTAGCAAATAGAAGTCATGTGATGCAATTATTTTCCATCATCAGAGTTCTAATTGGTAACATGTTGCTAATAAGTGACCAAATCATTGCAATAGATGAAATACACCTCATAAAAACATAAAAGAGGAGCATAGATGAGCAACTGAAAACAGCAGAGAAATGGAGAAAGTAGCACCCACCCCATCCAAGCATCTTGTCCTCTACCTTCTTTAATTTCTTCTTCTTGTTTCCATCTGTCTTTTTGGATATAAATTTATCCCCTGAATTTTGTGGGAACAACACCGAACAATCATTCAGAATACCCACAACAAATTTGCCTTAAACAGCTACATCTCAATCATAACTAAATGAGTAACAGAGACATTACTAGCTTAGCTTAACAAAAATTTATGAACGAGTATAAATGACCATTTAATTGTTACCCTTCTGCTGAAACTTTGCTTTGCTGACAGACATAGGGGTCGTGCCAGTGGAACGTAAAGGTGTCCCATCTAATATTTGAATAGCAAGGTCAACCGACGGTTCCTAAAATAGCAGGGAAATATAATCAGCCAAGAGAACAAAATAAAGTGAAGCATAATACTGTCCCCTCCCAAGTACAGAAACCAAGTTGAAGAGCAATGAGATTGCCTTTAAGTATGTGACTAATGCATCTCCTTTTACTCTTCCAGTCTCTTTATCGAAGTAGATCTTTATACGAGGCTTCTTTGTCTCCGGGTCCTGCAGAATTCATATATCCAATCTGTTAATCTCAACGAATTTCCAATTGTAAGGAAAATCTACACTCAATGTTTCTTAGCTTGTAACACGCAAAAAATAGACATCTCGAGGCTAAACTCCAGAGTACATAAATATAGGTTACCATAGCAATAAAACAAGAGAACATAAGCTTAGCTTTCTTGTTTTATTCATTCTAGTGTCTACCTACCCCTCTCCCTTCGTTCAACGGTCCAGTGTCAACATGCTAAACATAACATCCCTACGTAAACCACTTGTGCTATTATTGCACAAAATACAGTAAAAGAGACAGCTACATCTGTTATTGCGCACACATATAATTTATTTCTTTTCTTTAGGAACAATCAGGAGAGGAATTGATATTACCTCCTTGATTATCCCACACTTGGTAAATACCTCAGCCACCTAATAGAACATTCATCAAATTAGTTTCCTTCAGCATAAATAAAAAAGATCACCAAAATAGTAAACATTACTTCTTCAGCAGTAACATCATCAGGCAACCCAGTGACGTAAACATGCGTATTGACTTTCAATTCGAACCAACTATCAGGTGGTTTATTGGGTTCCTGCATAAGCAAGAAAAACAAACAAATGATCAGCAGATGTCCAGAAGCAGCAAATCAGGCACATCATAGATGTCGAATCAACTGAACCAAGTAAAATCTGGGTTTCAGAATTCACTACAAACGATGCGAGTCTTGTCCAGCTACATTGAAGAGCCACTGCCACTTTATTGCTAATATAAACAAGAAATGATAAAAGGAAACACACCTTCTTGTCAGACAGCTTATCCTTCACATCTGTTTGTTTTTCTGGCAATTTCCTTTTTCCATTATGGTTTGGTTCCAATGTCTCATCAACATCCCTGGCCTCTCCTCCTAGCAATGCATCATCAACATTCAGAGTCGGAAAGACTTCATCTTCCTTTGCGAAAGTCATATCTTCCGGCTCATATTGCTCACTTATGCCTGTTATATTCTCCTAGAGACCATCCATATGTGAAAATCAATATCGGCATTATATCATACAAGGCAGTTAACATCCGTAAAGGGTAACAGAAACATATCATATGAACTGAAAAAAGTCCATCAACAAGTCTCGCCATGAAAATGAAACACAACCTCAACAATCAAGCAAGAGACACAATTCATCATTTCAAGCGAGTACTCTGAAACTATACAACCGACCTGGGGAACCCACACTCTGAGACTTCTATCCCACTTGTATGTTGTCCCATCATCATCTGTGAATTCTTGTTCACCCTCTGGAGGTGATGATACAACTGCATCATGATCAATCCCAACTGTGCTTGGTTCAGATCCGTTTATCAACTGTCCTGCCTCTGCCTCAGTGACCTCCCTTTTCCATTTCTCAAATTCATCCTCATCAACATGGGCAAGGACTGCAACACAGATTTCAATATAGATATCATATGAGATAGAAAAGCTAAATATAACTTAGCAGTAATTGTGATATCACATATGGAAATAGAGTATTGTTTATGCATATGAATTTATCGTCCTGTTTGAAATGCATGCATTCAACACAAACTTTGTCTCTAAAATAAGCATTGTCTAAAAAACGTGCATTCTCCATATAGATTATGAAATCATAGGTTTCAAACTAGTTCCTCAAAATTCCAGCAGCCCTGTTTCTTCTATAAAAAAATTAGAGCAACCCTTGGCCCATTACCCCTTGGAGTCAAGCAGCAACTTGTATAGTTTCGAGGACTGTTTGATGAATCTCAATAGCCTTTTGTTGGGGTTTTTTTTTTCTAGATTTCTGTCCACTTGGTTAGGACTCATATATACAAGGTAGTACCCTTTTCAAACAGAGCTGAGAAACAATGACACACTCAAATACACACCTGCAGTTGAAAGGGGACCTTGCTGCTCCGTGTTGCCATGATTTACATCTTTAAAACCATGAGGCTCCAACACTGATTGTACCACTGGGACATCATCCTGTGTCTCCCCTATACTGGCACCATTGGCGGGTGCTGTATATAAAGAAAGTCAAGATCCTTCAAGAGAATCAACAAATCCCAAGTAATGGCATTCAGCTGAAAAAGAAAAACCTATACCTTGCTGAGAAATTGATGACATCAACTCAGGGACCGAGGATAAGGACTGCCACTCGCTTCTTCCTTCAGACCATACAAGTGTACTTTCTAGAAGGTAGCCACTTAAGAAATGCTCTGTGGATGTGAAGTGACAAAAGGAAAGTAGATGGTTCATCATTTTAGACCAATTGAACGAGCAACAGATATAACAGCTGTCCGTAACCCTTGCTTTTGACAACTGGTAGAACTGAAATTGGCGAAGAAAATTTTGGAGGTAAAAATGAATGGTCTCGGAAGGGAAACCCAAGCAAAATTTGGGTCCTCCGTAAGCAGCCAAGACGAATAATAACAACAATAATAGCAGAACCCATCCGAGGGAAAAATCCTATACACAAACTTCAAAGACTTCAAATGCTTATTACTTTGCAGTAATGGTGGGGCTTTCACATGAAGAGTAATCCTAAGCTGTGAAACTTCTAGGAATCTGGGAAACAAATAAGGCAGAATGAGAGAAGGACACTCACGTTGCAGTTCAGACGCTGTGTAAGGTCCGAGTTGCTGTTGATCAGCACCAAGAACATACCAATACCCAGCTTCAGCCATACACAACTGCTATGGAGGCTGTTTTCTGCAGTTACTGTAATAGTCAATGGATCTGATTGGAAACAAAAGAACCCAAGTAGTTGAAGGAGTACGACACTAAATTATACTAGCTTTGATTCACTAATCCTAATTGGTTCCTAGAGTCTAACAAGCAAACAAAAAGAATAAAACACGATAACCTGATTCATGGTTCCCATTAAACGTCCATCATCCTCCTTTCAACTCCTTCCCCTGGGGCCAACACGTCTCAGTAGAAACTCCTCATACCATTACAATGCCAGAACCAATTCTCTAGCTACTATTCTCTAAACTATTGGCCTTAGATATAAGGATAGCCAAATTACCTCTCTACTCATAATCTCAAACTAGGCAAGCTACAGTATAAAGAAGTGAAGCATTTTGATTCAAGTTGCTGCAACTGCCATTTCATTCTACCATATGCCCAAACTCTATTACAAAGCCCCGTAAATCCTTGCAGTAATGAGAAGCTTTTCAAAAGGGAAGTTCATCGTACCGAAGAACAAAAGGATGTCAAACGAGCCTTCTGAGAGAGGAACAATGCTGCGCAGCTACGCTGACTAAGAGAAATAGAATTTAGGGAAGAAAATGGCTCGAAATGGAGGTCGCGGACGCCGTTGAGGCTGAGAAGGGAATAAATAGGTTCTCCACCGTCGGCTTCTGACGTTTAAATCTCGCCGCGATAGGGAACCAACGCTACCGCTGGTCACTGTCTCCGTCGCCGTCGCAGCTGGAGGAGGAGAGTGGACGGAAGGTAGATGACAGGAGGGAGGCCGTCATAACTGGCTGGAGCATAAGGAGAAGAAAAGGAAAGAAACTTCAGGACGCCAAAGCGAAAAGTATGGAGAATGTAAGGGGTCGTTTGCTTGTTGGATTTGAAAAATGAGGGTTTTGGCTCAAAAAAACCTTGTACCATTATGGATTTGAAGAGTCTATTGTTTGCATGATAGATTTGATGATATAATTATGATGGATTTGCTATAAATATAACTAGCCATCAAGGATTTACAAATCTCACCTCAATATGTGGGATTTACAAGTCCGTGGGGTCCACGGATTTGGATCCAAAAAAGAGGAACAAATCCGTGGACCCAAATCCATCAAAATCTATGACCCAAATCCATGAAAATGACACCCAACAACAAACAATGGACTTGACTAAAATCCATCATGCTTGGGATTTGAGTCACAAATCCATGACCCAAATCCATCAAAATGACTGGGAGGTTGAATGACTAAATTGTAAATTCTATTTTGGGGTTAAATGTTGAAACTGTTAAACAAGTATGATCAAATTGCAACTTCTCTTTTTCTTCAAGCTTTGTTTGCGACAAGTTCATGTTGAATTATCCACCGATCAACAAAGTTACAAGGAACGATTTTCTAAGAAGAAATAAATTTTAAATTTTAAAATGTGTGTCCGATTCAATTGAAATATTTAACAATTCTTTCGTGAATATAATTAGGTTTATACAAAATTTAACAAAAGGATGTATGTTGTAGATGTTTCACACACATTTTTGGACAAAGTATGATATTATTAGGGATCCATTGGATTAGTATTTTAAAGTTTAGTGATTGATCCTATAGCTTTAACTGTCTCGGGCTCTCAGCTAATGGGCTTTAACTATGGGCATCGGTCCACCAATCACTAAGCGGGCCCAATAAAATAGCACAGTCTGAGTCTGAATCTGAATTTTCATTTATTCTCCACGACTTCCCGAGCCGTTACTCGGGAAGAAGAACAAGTGACTGATCGGCTCTCTTCCCCGCTACGTCGGAGCAGCTCATCGGGCGCCATTCTAGCACTTTTCTTGACAAGGTACTACTGATTCCTTGCTCCGTTCCGCCATTCACTCAAAACTGTTCCACAAAATATTAGGGATTTAGCCACGATTCCGTGTTTCTTCTCTTTCTGTATTCGACAGTTTCTGCGACAAGCCAAAGCCACCATACCATGGATGATGCAAATGCATAGTAGAATACATATTTAGTTTCAATGCAGTTGTACATCTTTAAGAGAATGCTTTCATTACACAGCAGAGCAAGAGATAGGTAGGAGATTACTACAAGCAGAGGGTTCTTTCTTTCTTATTTACAGGAGAGAAGAGCAAAGTAGCAAAACCCATTCCAGCAAACCCACTTCGTTCTATATCTGGCCACACTTTACTATTTATGGACAATAATAGACCAAATCATCCCATTAAAATCCACAGCTTACTTATGCACTGAACCCCTTCTGCAGCGAGCTCCAAGGGCTGGTAGGAAAGCTGACACATGCCTGGCTCGCAGCCTCGTTCATCTGATCTTTCCCGATTCCAGCGTTGCACATATTCGCTACAGACCTCATGTGCTTCATTCCGTATTGGGACAGCGACCCGCAATGCGTCTCAAATGTCCTTACCTGAAAATCAGAGAACAACAGGACAGAAAGAGATATATGTCAAAGCTCAACAACGCACGAGGAACGAAGAATTCCAGGGAACGTGACAATGGAGAACTTGGAAATTTGAATTACCAGTGTCTTGAGGCATTTCCAGTCGTCGACAAGGGGCTGGCCAGCAGGGCGAACAGCGCTGAGCACCTCCGAACCCTTGTTGATTCCGAAGAGGAGCTTTGCGATGAGTTTCATGCTGTTGTCTACATGCATTCTGTGTGACATGGCCTCCATAACCTGCTTCTCGGCTTCAGTCTTCCTCGCTGACCCTTCCGGGGCCTTTCGGTACTGCAGAAAATTGGATAGATGAGAACACGGAAATTGTTATGGGAGTCTTTCCAAATTTCAGCGACAAGTTCTTTATCTGATGGCAAAACATGAGCCTAAAGCGGCAAGGAAGAAGATACATGCACGTAGTTGAGGGGAGAAAGAGCAGGACACAAACCTTATCCCAGAAATGGACAAGATCGGCATCTCGTTGGTTAACAGCTTTAACGGGTGGTATTATAGCATTCTGGTCCACAAAAGTGAAGTTCTCATTCGCTGGATTGGTACCCATATACATGGCAAGCATGTCCTTGCTGAGTGGCATATCACCATATTGCATGACATGGGAACCATAAGGTGAATTGTCATTTGAAGTTCTCGACTTGACCTGCAAACGCAGCAGCAACATGATATCCCTCGGTCAAAAAACCCGATTCTATATACTATTGCACTCCATCTGCTGGAACACTACTTACCAACTCGTATTGCTGATGCACGCTCTCCCTCCGCAGATTGTGTACATCGCTGATCAAAAGGCAAGTGAGATAGAAAGTTAAAATATGCCATTTACTTTTCTGACCGGCAAGAAAACATCCTTCTTTTCGCTTTCTCATTGTTTGTTTTCCCTATTGGTTAGATTAGAAACTGGGTTAGGAATGACAAATAAGAAACTCGGTGAAAAGATAAATTGAAGTGTGTACCAGTCTTCCATCCAAGCAACACTGTACAAGTCGCCTAAACAGGTTTCATATTCTGGCGGTGGACTAGGATAATCTCCAGGGCAGTAAGTTCCCCAGCTGCTCTCTTCGGCATTTGAAGCAGTGGTTGCGTAAATATTCAAACCCTCGGGAAGAAGACCTTCAAAGATACTTCCAGATTCACAAGCTTCTAGATAGAAGACCTGAGGTTGTCACCAATGGTATGCATCAATCAACTTGATTATAGAGAAACTTGATATGAAAAGAGTGTGTCCAAGTTGGGGGAAAAAATGGAACTCCCAACTTACCAAGCTTTTATAGGTTCCAGAAGCATGCTTCTTTTTCAAAACATCATTCAAATCATCGGCATACATGTATGGGCTGGTAGGCATTCCTGAGAACAAAAAGAGAAAGGGCAGGCGAAGTTAATTGACAAATTCTCTAATAGGCATAGCAGAAAAGCTAAAAATGACAGAACCCACTGTAAATTTCCCGATTGCAAAAGCTTCTAAGCTTTCTTTGATTATGATCAGATGAGATTGAGAACCCCAATAATGATCCCATTCTCATATAGATTGGCAGAGGGAAAAAGAAAGAACATGATAATCATTCATCCAAATTCAAGGTTTTGCAAGTAACTAAAGATGGACAAACCTAGCACCCCGGGACCTCCATGATCGGTGTAGTAGATGAAAATATGATCATTCGGACCACTGTCCAAAACTTTACCACTGCCCCCAGTCAGAGCAGACTTGTCACCAAGGATAGCAGCAAAAATGTTTCCCACAGTCACATCTTCCCCAGTATAATCCTGCCAACGAAAGGAAAACATGGTATGCCTGAGGACGAAGCATAACTTATATACACAATCACGATGATGCTACAGATCGAACACACAAAAGCAGACCTTCGGAACGCCTTTGTAAACATCATCACCGTGTGGACTGTTGATTATGACTCCAGGCCTCGGGTTCTCTACATTATAAGCAATATCATCATACATGAAAACAATGATGTTTTCATCTTTCAGACCACCCTTTTTGAGAATCTGGTAGGCGTGACAGACATCAGCCTACATAACAAAAACAGGGGTTAGCTTACAAAAAAGGGGTTAACAGCACAAGTAGCCATCACTGTAATCGATCATTGACGAAAGTGGAAACCCCTATCCGGAGTATTTCCCCTTATCTTAGATTAAGAGTACTGGAATTGAGAGACAGAACAACCCAAAATTTCCCATTTCGGTACTGTGATCACTCGTTGACGAAAATGGAAACCCCGAATCAGCTAATTATCTCCTTATCTAGGTGAGTCCCTTCTTCCATTATTAGCTTCAAGGTTTCCTCTACCAACAATACTACCATGGAGAAATTGAAATTACTAGGTCAACGAACACTCCAAGATCTCTCGAGCTAAGACAAGCAAACGATTGACTGATCATGAGAAGACAGCGGGGGGAAGTCAGAAAGAAGAGGAAACCTGGTGTCTGTAATTCCAGTATCCATTGGATCCGGCGATCAACACCGCCCACCTAGTCCCCGTAGAGTCGGCATCGTCGTCAACGCCACCGGAGCGGAAAAACCTGGAAGCGGATGAGGGCAGCTGGATGACGTCATCTGCTTTATCTGGCCTGGCGGAGCTGACTGTGCTGGTAGTGGAGAGAGCTAGGAGGAGGAGCGGGACTAACAGGGAGATCCCGGCGCCGGCTGAAGTCGTCATGTGCCCGACGACTCACCTAAGCTTTTTTCCGATGAGGTGGGAGGGAAGGTGGTTGCTTGGGAGGGGAATGATTGGCGATTCGGATAAAACCAAAACCCAAGAGTGGCTGATTGCTTCAAGACGTGTATGTTCTTTATAGAAGAAGGAGAGTAATATATTAATAATAGGAGTGGAATAATTTTTGGGACCTTTTCTAAAAAATATCCACACATAGTAATTGATTAACCACCCAACCTTATATCTCAACAAAGATTATTAGCAAAACTAACTATAATTTTTAGTTTTTACACCCCGATTTTCTTGTAATATTTCATTTAAACTTAACTATAGCTCTTGGGTCGAATCTTTTCTATAATGTTTTTAATAAGTAAGGTTGTCGTTAATAAGTAAGAATGTCAGCTTGCTGATACAATAGTTTTATATAATTCTTTGATTTTCATTGTTGATTGCTTGCTCATTTGTTTAGACATTCTTATTAATTGGTGTAATTGTAAATTGAGATTAACATTTGTAACACTTCTGAATGAGCATCTTTCCGACCACTAATTTGGATTACTGATTCGTACATAGTGCACTTTGTTTCATAATATGATAGTTAAAAGATACTTGAATGTGATGAATAAGTTGGAGGAGCTAGCTAGACATATGTTTTACTACATAAATGATATGAAAACAACATAAAATCTATTTTGACACTTTGTTCGCCAACTTGAATTATTTGAAAATAAATTACGAAATAATTGTAAATAAATATAAATGATCCATAGGTTGTTCAAGTCACATGTTCTAAATACTTTACTTTTTTTTTTACGGGAAAAATACTTTACTTTCTAACTTCGACCTTCTTTATTCTCAAACTCCTCATTTTTTGCACTACTCGATTTTATATGCTTAAAGGAATACTATAAACCAAGTATAATTATTGAAGGGACTGATATTAAACAACTATAACAAAGATACCCAACTCTGTCAATATATTGCTAACAAACTCCAATCTCCTCTAATTTGATCAAGTCCCGTTTCTTTAAGACCATTATTAGGGTCTTGACAAACACTACACTCTATCCCTCTTGTATTTTTTATGGTAAAAATTTATAAAATTGTAAACAAACAGAAGTTGTTGTGGGTTTGGTAAAACACAAAACAAGTTTCTTACAAGAAAGGTGTAAGGTTAGACTCTCCTTGTCTTCTGCAATTCCAGTAGAAAGTGACTATTTTTTTTTATTTTTTAAGAGAAATTAAAATAGACTATCAATAATTCAAGAGTTCAGTTGGGTCACCCTGTTATCTTATAGGTTTAATAGCGAATTTACCATATTTGAACTGTAAAATCATAGTGGATAGTTCTTTACATGCTCTTAAGTCTTAAGTGTTTCAAAGTTTTGTTCGTACACATAAAATCTTACCAAATGAAATTCATATGTTTCATTCTATCAGAAGGTAATCATTCATGCGAAACTTAAAATTATTTGGTCCTTTACATGCTCAACATACACCAATTCACCGTGCAGGAGCTTTGATCCTTTCATTCTTTCACAAAAATCTTTGATCCATAGGAAAAGATTCATTGGTTCAAACGGAATCTTGCAGGCACTTGGATGAGTGGGTTCGGGATATTTTGTGGATTCACTTACGTGATAAGATTATCGACCTTGGTGGAGGCCCACATGTGGGCCCAACTGGTCGATAAAGTCTCTTGAATTATTGAACGTCATTTTTCATGATACGTGTTGATTATAGCGACCAGCCCATTTGGCCTCACTTGGACGCTCGTAGTCAGGAATCAGGATCGGGTTAGTGAATGAATGATTTTGACAAGTAACGCCCTGCATTTCAGATTTCAAGCACATAGACTTACAACTTAGTATTGTGGGCTGGAGTTTAAACAAATGGGCCTGGGCTAAAACTATTGACGACAACTAGACTCATATTTTGGGCCACTAGGTTGGGCTTTGCGTTGGCGAAATTCGAACGGCGGATGACAGCAAAAGAGCTGAATCAGACGAGTTGGAGGTGGACCGGTTGTTACGGGCTTAGTGGATTTCAGCCCGAGGCGGGGAAGGCCGGAAGAAAAGCCCAAAAGATTAACCAGCACGCATTCTTAAACCCAAATTCTTTGATCAGCCTCCACGTATTGTCTCTCGAGTTCAGTCATTACATGTACGACTTGTTTAGAGCTTTGGATACAATTTCATCCATGGTCGATGTTCTGCTTTCATAAATGGACATTATGGTTTCCCCTCTCCCATTTAGAAGGGTTATAAACCAATAGGTTCCAATAATTTGAGTTGTTGGGAAAGGTTCATGTACGATACTTAATTACTTCCTTACTCACCCTCCAAAACGAAATTCAACGTATGTGATTGAAACTTGCATAGACTCGTCATATTATGTGCTTTAGGCTTTAAGCCAATGATTAATATTGGAGGTCGTGAGGATTTGAACATGTGAAATCAATGACAACTGAGCTCTGATATCAGGTTATATAAACCATGCTGGTCTCAAAAAATCGAAATGTACGAAGATATCCATGTATGATACTTAAAAACTTTCTTACAAGAAGTACGGTTCGATAACTCACCCTCAACGTCCAAATTATATTTAGAAAAATAGAAATACACGTAAAACGTGTAATAAGTGTGATAAATATAACACTTTGTAAGTTTGTAACACCTTACTTGATTTCTAGGGTTCAAATTGCTGGAACTTCATCGTTTGACCTCTCCTCGTTCAAATTTCTAACTCCACCACCAAACACACATAGTACGAGATCATGGGAAATGTCAACTCCCTTTCCCCTTGTAGATTCTCATCTCTTACCTCATCGAAGATGCCAACATGGACTTATTAGTAGTTTTACCGTTGGTCTTCAATTTAAAGATTTGAGGTTCAAATCCCTTAATTAACACCTACCAATAAAACTAAACCAATATCACCATATAAGAAAAATTACCTTTCAGCTACCATTAACAAGTCGACCCTAATTAAAAAAAAAATTATACACCAAACGAAAGCGACATACAACAAATCGTCTGAATTATGTGTACAATGAAGCATCTAAGGTAGTGCTGGAGGTCTCTATCAGTACCTAAAAAGCCCGCGCAATTGTCTTGCTTGTCGACTTAATTGTTATTATTATTCCCAATTTAAAGGCACAAACTTAACTAATAATATGCTTCCTAGTTTGGTTTTATGTAGGTGTGTTTAATATCTCTCTCCCATTTCCTTCTTGTCGCCATAATCACGGGACCCATAACCCCTCAATTATTATTCTTATCGTTACATTTTAAAATCATTAGTGGAGGAAGGGAACTCCCTCGCCAAGAGGGGGACACAACTTTATAATCGTTTTGTGTCTGCCCATGATACTTTACTTATCTCCTCCTTTCATGTCAAGGAAAATTTGGTTTGTTAGGGAACAAGCACACTGAATTGAATAATTTAGTTTGGATACCGCACATTATTAAAACGTTGTTCGCTTTGAATCAAATATGTAGGGATTACAGTTGGCCAAATACTTATGTCGCCCGGCCCTTTACACGGTAGGAATAAAAACGAAAAATTAACCTTTTCGTTAGATCCTATAACAGCAACCTTAGTTACTAATCTTGGAATTACTTTGTGGAAATAACGAAAAAAATATAAAAGAATCAGTGCAGCCACTTGTTTTTCTCTTGTTTCATATCATGCACTTTTATCCATATGCAATTGCAGTATAGGAAGATTGATGGGTCCGTCTATTCGGATCTCTTCGATACCCAAAAATTGGAAATCATCACACGAGCAGCTTGGTTGCAGTTCATGGCTACAAGAAACCAACACATGAAAATCCATCGCGACTCTTAGCCTCCAAATTGATCTTATTATCGAGTAACTTACTCTTCCAACTTCAAGCAAGAATTGGTTTCAATGTTTACCTTCACCACTACAGTCGGACAATTTACCTCAATCAATCATCAACAACAAAAATCTTCTACAATACGCAAACAGAGAAACAAACTCTTCTGCTCTACAGTTCTTAACTTCCAACATACTTTTTTTCATCCAACTGCTGTCTGTCGCAACACGATCACCCATTCCATATTCCTAATCTATCATTTTATGTTCTAATTGCATGACTTATCCATACAATTAGTTGTTCCCTAGCTAGTTTAAATAAGGTTAACTATGATATTACTACACGTTCACTTGATTCCAAGTTCCATCCCATTCCCATTTTGTAGTTTTGTTCCCTCCCCTTCCCCTTCCCCCATCCCCTCTTCATATCTAATCCCTTTGGTCTCTTCTCTTATCCAAACATGACACTTGGTCATTCACATCTCATCTCAGCTGAAAGTGAAATGGGCCATTATTATTATTATTGTTCTATTTATAGATAAATAAACAAAGTAGATTTTGAATACAGTTTATTTAATTACTAAATCAATCAACCAAAATCTCACAGCAGATACTGTAAAAAAAAACGACACATATCTATAACAGTTCGTTGATTAGCTCTTAACAAATAACAAATGAACAACCCAACAAGTTCCATCGTAATTTACTAACACTATTATTTTTAATTAAGCTCCTTCTGATTCGTCACACTTCAACTAATACACTAATATGATTATTATATATATTTGGTCTTGTTTCTCCCCTGATATTTTCCACATCTGGTCCAGTCATAAACTGCCAGTAAGAAAAAGTGATATTACAAAACGACAATTTAATCTGATTGGCATTATGAAGATAGGAATGAGTCAACTGCTTCTCTTTGGACTTTCCGACGATGAGTTGAGTTGATTAAACTACCGATTGAAACTTACTCGGAATCTATTAGACTATTATCTCTGTCATTAGTGGTTAAAAAGGTGTGGAAGCTAAATTTAACCGATATATCTAAACAACCAAAACATCGTTATTTGGAAGAATCTCCGATCGATTTTATTTGTGTAACATGGCGTTACAAATTTTTGTTGGCGTATGCGCCATTTATAAAACACTTAAAATTTATTTGAAAAATATATCCAGTATAGCTATGTCATTAATTATTAAAATTGATGTAAACGAAAGTGAGTTGATCGATATGAACATACATAAAAATCAACATAATTATACGAGAACTAAAAGAGGAAAGAAAAGAAAACCAACGAGAATCGGTTATACTAGTTACTCCAAACTATAATGAAATTTTGATGAATGACCCATTTTTTTCAGTCTAGTGATTTTCAATGTGTAGGAATTGACCCTTTAAGTTTATGGCCAAGACATATATTTCATGTGATAGTACTAATATATGACACAACCGCTAGGCCAACGTTTGAAAGCAACATCGAACTCAAACCCCAACACAGAAATAAAAGGTCAGGAAACAAAAGGGAATACCTGGTGCCACCTTCTCCAACCATACGCTCCTCTAATCCATCCCCCCACAGAAAAACCGAACCTATTGGCCGCTCGATCTGTATTCTGTACTTTTATCTAGGCCCGAAAATGGACCGGGTTTGGTTCTTGTCGAAGAAACCATTAATCTGACCCAACCCAGTCCTATCCTTACTTGATTCAGTCTTGAGAAGCTTGGGTTGGGCCGAGTTGGGTCATCGGTAGGTTACATAAATTTCAAAAAATTCCAACTAATTCCCGAAAGTTTATATTAACCCATTGGCTCTGATCGAGTTGGGCCGGAACAATGGGTATTTCGGGTCAGACTTTCTTCCCTACTTCCATCAATCCCCATTCCCCAACTCCCACACTATCGGTCACGAGTTCGTAACAACTCGGCTTCTAACTACACTAGTATATGGTTTAGATCATTGTGTTAACTAACCTTATAAGTTAAGATAGTAACGTTTGGAGGTTGATCGATTAACAGTCTGCTTTATGTTCAGTTATGCGTAAAAAACGTGGTTTTCATTTATATAAACTAATCAAATTGTATTTACCGTTTTTTCCATTTTTTATGTACGTAAATGGTTCCAATTTGGCACCCTAATCTAGCCAATTTACTTGTAAAAAGAAATCTAGCCAAATACAAATCTACTCATTAATGATCTCGAAATTTTGCACATGTTAGATCATACTAGCTGTTTTCATCGGTTGCTAATAGATTAATACTACCAAAGACAATCAAGATTCGAACATAATATATGTAAATCAAAAAATCTAATATCGTATTAATAACGAATTAGTCCATCTAGCTCAGAAATTTAATGAAACCCCTTTTCCACCTTAATAATCTTTCCATATATAATTAATATTCATATTATAATAATATTATTTAGAATCAAATAATATTACTACATACATAAAATAATGTGAACCCCCAATAGTATATGATATAACCTTTGGCCACGTTTGAAAGCAACATGGAACTTCAACCCCCAACGCAGAAAACAAAAGGAATACCAGGTGCCCGCGACTCCCAGCTTCAAATCCCATCCCCTCCCCTTCCTCTCCTCTCCTCTCCTCTCCAACCAAATCTATTGGCCACTCCATCCTTCCCTCTATACATTTCCAATCCACTCCTCACTCGCTCACGAGTTCACACAACTCACAACTCAATCAACACTGAAACCGCCATTTCCCAATTCTCTCCATCACTTTACTGAGCACTTGAACAGAGCAAAGCGAAAAACAATGGACGCGGCGGCCGCCGACGACGACAGCATGCGGCAGGTGGTGCTGGGGAAATACGAGATGGGCCGGATGCTGGGGAAAGGCACCTTCGCCAAAGTCTACTACGCCAAGCACAAGTCCACTGGAGAGAGCGTGGCGATCAAGGTGATGAACAAGGAGCAGGTGAAGAAAGAAGGCATGATGGAGCAGATCCAGCGAGAAATCTCCGTCATGCGCCTCGTCCGGCACCCAAACGTCGTCGAATTGAAGGAAGTCATGGCGACCAGATCCAGAATCTTCTTCGTGATGGAGTATGTGAAGGGCGGGGAGCTCTTCGCGAAAGTAGCGAAGGGGAAATTGAAGGAGGAGACGGCGAGGAAGTATTTCCAGCAGCTGATCTCCGCCGTCGATTTCTGCCACAGCAGAGGGGTTTCGCATCGGGATCTGAAGCCGGAGAATCTGCTGCTGGACGATAACGAGGATTTGAAGGTTTCCGATTTCGGCCTCTCTGCTCTGCCGGAGCAGCTACGGAACGACGGGCTTCTGCACACGCAGTGTGGGACCCCTGCCTACGTGGCGCCGGAGGTGCTGCGGAGGAAGGGGTACGACGGCGCCGCGTCGGATCTGTGGTCGTGCGGCGTGATTTTGTTTGTTCTCGTCTCGGGGTTTCTCCCCTTTCAGCACCAGAATTTGATGAGGATGTATAGCAAGGTTTTCAAGGCGGAGTTCGAGTGTCCGCCGTGGGTTTCCGTGGAGGCGAGGAGGTTGATCTCGAAGCTTCTGGTGGCGGATCCGTCGAGGAGGATTACGATTCCGGCGATTATGCGCGTGCCTTGGTTTCGCAAGGGGTTTTCCGTTCCCCTGGTTTTTTCAATCCCTAAGAAGGAAGAAGAAGAGGAAGGAGAAGAGGAAGGGATTGTCAATTCTTCGTCAATTCCGAAGATCTCGTCGCCGAAATTCTTCAACGCGTTTCAATTCATCTCGTCGATGTCGTCGGGATTCGACCTGTCGAGTCTATTCGAGAGCACTCGGCGGCGGCGGGGGTCGATGTTCACTTCGAGGTGCTCGGCGGCGGCGATTATGGAGCGGATGGAAGGTTTCGCGAAGGGGATTAATTTTAGGGTTGGGAGGGTGAAGGATTTCAAGATGAGCTTGACGGGGGGAACGGAAGGGAGGAAAGGGAGGCTGACGGTGACGGCGGAGGTTTTCGAGGTAGCGCCGGAGGTGGCGATCGTACAGTTCTCGAAATCGGCCGGCGACACTTTGGAGTATGTGAAGTTCTGCGAAGAAGACGCCAGGCCGGCGTTGAAGGACATCGTGTGGACTTGGCAAGGGGAGAACGGCGACGACTCCGTTTGTAACGGTGGTAACGGTTACGTGGAAGACCGTCTGAAAGCGACAATCTCTATGTAGAAACTCCGACAACTCTTTTCTTTTTTTTAATTGCTCTTTTTTTATGTTTTAATTTTTGGCTTCGTGTTATGGAGAGTAGATATACAGGATAAGCTTTTCTAATTCCCGCCTTCTCCAACCCTCTTGTGTTGTTCTCTTCTCAATTGGGCTCTATTCGAGGGTGTTCGATGCATGTGGTGACATTATCGATGACTTTTATTACGCTATCGAATGTCCATAATTGTGATGAATTATTCAAAAGAACCTGTTTTTTTTTTGCTGAATTCAACGTAGGAGAGGAAGTGCGAGATATCAACACATACTAATTATTTTAATTCATCCTTGTTGTAGCCGGATCCTTTCGGGGTTTATATGATATGTAAATAGGATCAATATGTTCGATGCATCATTTTAAACCAGAGTTGTATTTAGATCCTTTCGGTGTTGATATGATATGTAAATAAGATCAATATGTTCGGTGCATGTACTGATATTATTGGATTGTTTCTGTTATGTTTTTGAACGACAGATGTGATGAACTATTCACAAAAATATCGTATCGTTGAGATCAAAAGTACGAGAAAAGATACGTAATATCAAGGCCCGTTGAGAGGTTCTGTAAGTAAGGTAAACTAATTACTAAGGTAGGTGATCATAACTTTTTTTGCATGTGCTTTGAGTGAGGAGAATGAGCCGTTAAGGGAATCAAAGGAAGAGATCTCTTACTATGGGATACCGTAAATTTGTCTAAGTGACAGCTTCGGAAAGAAGTGCGTTACAGCCAATAGCCATATGACGTCTATATATGGTAAGAGTTTTGTAACTAACTCCCATCTGCAAAACCTAATAACAATTGACTAATGGTAGTGGGTGCAAAATGCCCTTGTCACATTGCCGTAAGTTGGATATGGAGCAGGAGGCTCGCCATATGGGCAGTTCTCATATGAGATTATGTAAAGTTGGAAGGATGGCGGGATTTGTATTCTATATTGGCAGGCACAACCCATGATGGCTAACATGTTCGGGATTTGTAATCTTAGAATCTCTCATTGCCTAAATGGTTAACTGTTCATTAATCAATGGCAAAATCGTTACGTTTTGTGAGTTTTAGAAACACGAATAAGTTTTTGTCGAATTTCATCATATTCCTGGCTCTTATATTTCCGCTGAACAAGTTTTTCTCTCATGCCCACCTTTTGGTGCCTCAACGGTTAAGCACAAGTACCCCGATCACTTATAGGTGAATTGAGGAGGGTTTCAATGCCACAATCATTCACCATATTCATCTTTTGTTGCCACTACATCCAGTCATGATAGTATTTCAGTCGTAAGAAGCACTGAGGGAATCTATATCGATAACAAGCAAGTGACCATGGGGTGCCTTAGTCGGGTCTGGCTCCGAGGGCGACAACAAAATTGAAAGGTCTCTCCCTGCTCAAACTATCTCACGATGGACGCCAATCGTTCCTATGATAATTGTTAACAAGCTTGAGCAAGAAAACGGATGAGATATAAGTCGATTACTTGTTTTCAGTTGAAAACGAGACCTGAAAAAAAGTGTCTCGGTGCTTTTATCTGATGCTTGCTTCTGATCAACTCTTGCCACCCGTCCCACAATTTTATTGGCCCTAAACTTCTACAGCACACCAATTGCCATCAATTATGAGAAGACTTTGTAACTAGTGACCGTTACTCTTAAGGTCATTATAATGACTTGTCCAGAGACCACGTGTATAATTTTTGGTGGCAAATCCCCTTTCTCACAAGGTATGAGTCATCATCCCTGCTTCACCACCCATTGCTCCATCTCCAGCTTGCCCACTGCACTTGAACAAAAAACCACACACTAATTAAACAAAGCATCACACCTAATCAGTGATTAGCTGTTGATTAATCAAAACACCTCATGATTCACTTACGTGAGGATGACGTCAAAGTCGCTTAGAGTCCACTCTGCAACCTCGTCGTGATCACTCACATAGATCTCTGTCCCAACATCAATGGACGTCCAGATTCTTCTTGCTGGTGGAGTGCCTGGGTCCTGCAAACCATCAATGTATCGTATTATTGTATCAGATTCTTCTAACACGACGACAATCATTTCGTTTCGTCTATCTTCGACAGATCACCTCCCATTAACCAATACCAGAGACGAGACAAGTTTGGTTAACATAAATGACGTAAATTGAAGCATGATCATGACCTGGTAAAAGTAGAGGCGACTAGCCACACCCCCAACATCAAGCTCCCAGCTTCTTGAATCTCCGATCCATCCCTCCCCTGGCTTGGTAGGGTAGCCATAGCTTCCCCAAACAGGATGAGGTAGCAATTGAACCAGCTCTTGAGAGTGAGGGTTGCTGTAAGGATCACACATGCTGAAGGGTTCCTCAAGGAACTTGGCATTTCCTGGACCGCAGTACAAGTGATAGGCACCATAGGGGAAGTTGGCGGTGTCGTTTCGGTACAGCTTGGTGCCGTTTGGGGTAATGTGGAAAGGAGGGCAAAGGTATGGGTTGCTTGGATTGCACCATGGCTCTATTTCTGGGTTGATGATCATCTCCGAGTATCGTGTCACGTCAGTGAGCAGGTCTCCATCGCAAGGAGATCCGTCGTTCTTCCAGCAGCTGCCAATGTCGATCAGGTAGAACTGGCTCTTGGGACCTCCACCTTGTTTGATGTCCAGTGTCAGCTTCACCTTGAAGTTTGGGGACTCTGGCAGCTGCATACATAATTACATTTTGTAAACTGTAAGCATTCACTGTTTAAACCCGGTATAGCTTGTTCATTCAAGGAGAGACAAGGGAGAAGAAGCACAAAATTTCCTGAAAAGTTCCCTCATTATTGTGTAGCCGAAGTAAGGCAGCATGAAAACGAAGGTAAAGCCTGCTCACCACAATTGTCGGCTCAATCATGAATTCATGATAGAAGGGATTCATGGCACACAGCCTAGCAATATGAAACATCGACTACAACGAAAACAATATTCGTATGCAACTAATATGCCTGAAATCCGAACTTGATATGAGTCTCACGATCTGCTTATTAGATTAACGAGGTATATTGATAGCTTTATCAGGATTCGTATATGAGACCTTTAGCTCATCTAGCTCTCATGACATATCAATGGCAAATCGTACAATAACTCGAAATTTTTAATGAGAGGGACCCTCAGAAAAAATGAATGTAGCAACAGTTTAACATAACCAAGACAAAAGGTTAAGGGGATCTCATCAAACTCATGATGATAGAAACCAGAGAACAAAACTACGAGCTCTCAGCCTTGTCACAACTCACAGGTTCGATTGCAAACAGAGAATAGAGAATGGGGAAGGGGAATCTAGGGGAAAAACTCACAGTATGGAGCATGCCTCTGGTCTCATAGTGATACCCACCAGAGAACCCCGAAGTAGCATCAGCTCGAAGGTACAGCATCAGCCATGGATACTTCTTTGAAGTCTTGAGCTTATGGTGAAAAACCCAACTCCCGACCCCAACTCTCTTCTCCCAAGCAACCTCATACCTGGAAATTGATCCATCACCAGTCCCATTGTAATAATCGTAGGAGCCATTGAAGCTTCCCCTGAGCCAACCATCAAAATCAACCTGAGTGGGTTGATGACCGAGAGTGGGTTGGTTCATGCAACCAGTTCCAAAGCAAGGGAATCTCCCTGGCTTGAAAGGAGCTCCCTTCTTCCCATTCTCTGGGCATAACCCGGAATTGGTGTCGTAGTTGCCATTTTTCAGCATAATCATCCAGAAGTGCCATGGCTTGTGGTTATCGGAGACAACCTGGCATAACGAGCCGAGGTAGAGCTCCTTCTGGACAGCGTAAAGATCTGGATTCTTGAGAGCTTCTGGGGGTAATCCTGGAAATGGGTCTCCTGTTCCAAGCTTGTTATCGGCTTCTGTTACCTTGTGCTCCACCACTCCCCTGTTTGTTGATTCTGTTTGGTGAGAGAGGTAGATTAATTAGTAAAAGTTAACATTTAGAAAGCCTGGAAATTTACTGGTATACCATTCCTTTCCGTGTTGTTAATTTTCATGGCAAGAATAAGAGTTTGACGTATAAAAACCAATCCTGTACCACTTCTTCACATGCCTAACTTAGAATTTGTAGAGATTCCTCCTACCAACAATCAACCGTGTCATTGAATATTTAAAATATTAAATGTTATCGTGATTCGGATACGCAATCTCTCATGGAAGAAAACTTTGCTATATAAGTTAAGAACTGATGCAAGCCAAATAAATAAAAGACAAAATGAACACACCAGTCTCCATTACATTGTCCAAATTATTTGACAGTTTTGCTATCGTACCTTAAACTATTGGCTTCATTGGTTCAACATCCGTAACATTTTTTTTTACAGTTTTTACAAGCATTTGGAAAGATGATTGGTTTTGAGAGAAAGGGGAGAGAGAGGCGTACTGTAGCGGTTGTTGGAAGTGGGTGGTTCTTCTAGTGCAGGGGTGAAATCGAAGCAATCAGCAGCTCTAGGGCTGCCCATTACACGATCTTCGTCTTCTTGTCGGCCAACTTCATTGCAGAAGTTCCAAGCTTCGAACGCCACTCTAAGACCATCTCTTGTCATCCCAGGATCTCCCACAGCTGACTGCAGCTTCTTGTAGTTCTGTTCCCCTCTAGCAGCAGAATGAACAACAGCAACTCCATGATTGACCACCAACCAGAACACCAACAGCAATAGCAAAGTATGCAAATGCCGCATCCTCCTCTGGTTTCTTGCCATTGCCGTACCAACTATATGCTAATGATAGAGGGTACAATATACTCCCCACTTCCACTCTGCCACCAACAAGAATATGTAAATGGGAAGAGCAGGGCAGGCCCAGCTGGGTGGCTGGCTGATATCGATTTTAGGAGAAATGGGTACTTTTCTCCTGTGTTGACATCTTACCATATCTCTGCATATCGACAAAAGAGTCGTGTCCCCACAGTCCCACTCAAATAAAAGAAATATAGAAGCGTACTAAAGAGTTTCTGAGGCAGAGTTGGCTTCTCTATCTCCTTCTTCCAATCCTTTTGATCCAGCAGTTGATCGAGGGCGACGACGGAGATGAGCAGTGATCCTCCCTGAAAATGTCCGCAGGTGCTTAACTTACAACCAAAAGTAAAACTGAAGTGGTAACCACTGCCCAGTGCTATTGAGCCTCAAGGATTTGGTGCGTCAACTGTTCTGTAGTGGTTTTCCTTCACTTTTGGTTTTGAATTTATAGAGTAATGTGCATTGATAAGCTTTAATTGGTCGTGCTTGGAAGAAGGAAACACTGTATGGGTAGTAACAAATTGCAATAACTGCTGTCATTTACCAGAAATCTCCGCAGTTGCAATTTCCATCTTTGAAATGATGGAATCGACTAACATCCCTGACTTTATCTCTCCCTTGTAATGAGGGAGATTAATTTGATAGCATTGTGATAATCACCGCAAACTCTCAAATTCTTCGTCACCAAGATGGGTTTTGATGGGCTCAGACTGAGAATTCCAAATGCAATAGCTAGTTTCTCACTGTGATAGAGAAGGATCTTATTATCCATTTCTTCCTCTTCAACATCATGGAAAACATTGCTCGATTCAGCACGGTATCCCAGCCTCTTCATCTCCACTTGCATTTCATCCAGTTTCTTGTTTATCTCTTCTGATTGTGGATGAGACCTATCCCCACGACCAACAAATGCATGAACAATCCCACCAACCTCGATTCAACTGCAACCAGGACACTTTTAGCAAATCACATTTCATTCTGCGCGAGTCTCACTTGTGCTTCATCATCCCATCTGCCAATGGTGCTGTGCATATTGGATAGAAGAACAAAGTTCCCTGTAGATTCTGGCCCTAACAGCTATTTCCTTTGACACTGCTTCTCCAAGTTCAATATTCTTGTGTATCCTGCAGGCAGCCAATGCGGCTCCTCACACACGAACATCGGGTTTGAATGGCATATCTTGAATGAACTTGTAAACCTCTTCAAAATGCCCAGCCCGGCTTAGCAAATTGGTCATGCATACATAGTGATCCATCCTTGGGAGATCTCAAAATCTCGGCTCATGGAACCAAACCATTTTCCCAATCCGCAACGAGTCCTGAATGGCTGCAAACAGATAATAGACAAATGAATGTCACGTCATCAGGTTTCATGCCTTCTTCAACCTGCTGCAAATTTTGGAAAAGTGAAACTGCATCCTTTCCGAGCCCGTGAACCCCATAAGCATCTATCATTGCATTCCAAGAGATTACAACCCTCTCGTGCATTTTATCGAACACTTGCCGTGCAGTATGGATCTTCCCACACTTTGCACCATGCCAATGAGGGAATTGCAGACTATTACTTGTATAGCCATGAACTACGGCGTAAGAATGGCTGCAACAACCATGTTGCAGAGCTGCCAAATTAGAACAAGCAGGAAGAATACCTGTCATTGTTGACACGGCTGGAACTTCACAGACGACGAAAGAACGGGAGGGCCTTCCCAGTTCCCACTACTAGGTCAGTAATATCCGAACTCTGAATGTGGGTCAAGGGGAAGGCTTTGCGGAAACTTTGAAGGATTAACTTGGATTTGGACACGGATTTGGATTCAATCCAAACATCGACGAAAGAGAAAGCTGTGAGACGAAACAGAACGCCGGTGGTAGCGCGGGTTTTCTCCTTTGCATCGGCACAGGGATGCCTGCGCTAATGGAATTGGACTTCCGGCCTGGTCCAAAATAATTGAATTTGAGGCTCGATTCTTGCTTCCAAGGCCCAATTCTCACAAAAAGAAGCTACGAAGTATCAGTAATGTCCCCAAGAAATTGAGGTATTTTCAAGTTTGCCACTGGCTTCGGCCCATTTCTTGTTCCGCTTTGTTTCGTTCACTTGTTCCGGCATCCGCCCCAGTGCTCAGGTTTCCGTTCAGCCCACAGGACTCTGTGTCTCTGTCTGCACATCTTTCTTCCATCTCTGGCTGCAAGCCGGCACTTCCTCCCAGCTTTATGTTTTCCGGCCACGAGCAGCCCGCCGGATATTGTGTTCACGCATCCCAAGTTTCGGCATAAGCTGCCTTCTGTTCGTTACAATTTGGTTGTTGCCCAAATCGGTCCAGCTTTGTGGGGTTGGGGTGGAAAGGGATGTCCATAAATACCATAAGGATTGATTATCCTAAAGAGGTTTGTTCTCTACGTCCCTTAGGCCTTATCTATTTGTACAGATATCACTCAACTAGACACAGATTCCCGTGAGTGCTTTCCGGGTTAGCAAGTACACAACTAAGATAACAAGAAGAAAGACAACAAGGAACCAAACAAGGACGATCCCAGGCACATAGTAACAGATTCTCATCGTCAGCGCAAGAAGGTTGATCAATTACTTGTCTACTATTAGCAAAAAGCATGTGACACATTTTCCTCATCCCACATGAGAAAGACCACCACCAGTTTCAGCCTTCGTCCTGAAGCAAACAGAACGAAAAATGGTGACTCCGCCTTCCACAGACAACTCCAAAAATACAAAGCAGAGAGGGGGCGTAGAAGACAACTTACTTATGGTCGGAAGGATTTGGCCTGAGTTCATACACGATCGTTGCAACAGTATCCCTCTTCAACTGTTTATTATCACGGACAAAGAACATTCGGTTTAAGTTGAGATGGCGAACATTCGATTCTGACAGAAGCAAGAGCAAGAGATCACACCAATGTAATGTAGTTACCTTAGTGGCTTCGCCTTTGAAACCAATGTAGTGTATCTGTGTAGTATCTCCCCCAAGATTATCGGGAAAGTGTAATGTGATACTTGACACTCCCTGGAATTTGGCATACCTGGTATACCAAAAAGATATTTGATATTAGGAAAGATAAGTCCATGATTAAGCTATTTCCAGTTCAACAAATTCGACACTAGTTTGTAAGAGTTACCTAGTTTGGTACTCCAGCACTCCTTGCAAATTTTCAACCAACTCCCATTCCTTGTAGAGAAAAGAACTAGGACCATGTAAGGCAAAATACTAGAGTTGATCAAGCTCTCATTAGTAGTAAGTAGAAGAAATTCAAAACACCTGCACCGCTTGCATGTCTTGAGCATCAGAGAAATCCATTCCTTCTCGATTGATAAACCTGCACATAGAATTCAAAACAGCAATCGAAGTTCAGATATACAAGCAATTTATAAATTTTATCTAAAAAACGCGAGGTTGTTCAAAAACTTGTTCATCTTCTTAAACGTGAGATCTATCTAACATGGTACAAGTATCAGCAGAAGAGGAATAAACAAGCAAAGGGGATTTCAACCTTTAGTCACAATTTCGTATCCAAAAGAAATTACAACATTAAAAACAGAGCACATCAAATTGAGCCTTGAAAGATACCAGTAAGACTGATTCAGCACGGCATTTGGATGGTACAACTGTACAAGGTATTTCTTCCATAACACCACCAAGCCAATTAACATATCAGCACAAGAATGCATTGAAATAGTTCTGTATGTTCCATCAGTTAGACTAACATTATGCAGGCATCTAAGTTGTATTGTATGTAATCACAAATTAAGAGGCAAATGTTTCCTCTGTAATTCTACCTTGAAACATTGTTGACTAATGCAACAAAGGAACAGATATACCGAAGAAAACATGTAAATGAAACTTACGCTCTCATTCTGGAAGGACTTGTTCGCTCTGGTCCACCAACAATCGAGATGCTCTTGATCTTAACATCAGATGTGAACCTGCATTCAGTAAAGTAAAAATAGGGCATCCAAAAAAAAAAAAAAAAATGGAAGCATACTAATAGTCGAAACTGAGAAATAGGAACTTAGAATAGCCAAAAAAGTAGACAGAGTAAGACTTTGCAGATAATCAGGGAAAATGATTGTTTGGGCATTTGAACAGCTGCAGATTAAGATTCAATACACAGCACTGCTCTATATCAGGGTTGAATACTGTTTTCACAGGAAGCCAATTTGACGACTAATAACCGACCCATTGGTTGATCAAGCTGGGATACATAAAAAAAAAGCAGAGAATTAGCAGACATACGGGACATAGACAAGCAGTTCAGAATCACCATCATTGCTTTGCAAGAGTTCCTGGCATGGGCAAAAAGATCAATCACAAGATAAGAAACGTTTCAATTCCCATCTTCTTCAGACTATGACTACACATGTATGCTTCAAATGCCGTCTTGACAACAAGGTTTTGGCAGTTCAATCGAACCATAAACACAACAAAAACGTAAATTAGTAAGGTGGAGTCCAGCTTACCCCAGAGAAGTTCAGGCGGTGCTCCCAAGCTTTGAAGACCGACTTGACACTTCCTGGAACTGCTTCATTCAGAGCCGAAACCTAGAAATTTTGCACAAATGGGAAATGCCAAGTAAGATCATAAGCTGCAGGAAATCGAATTCAAAGAATACTGGAGACGGACGAAGGCTTGTGTTCCCGTCGGCAAATTGGAAAGCCTCTTCGCAGAATCATCGATATCGCAACGGAATTATAGTCAGCGGAAATTAAGGAAGCCAATGAAGCGGCGGGTGAATTCTCACCTTAGCTAGGTCTATGTGTTTGTAGAGAGACCAATCAGAAGAGCAATCATGATCTTCGCAGCTGTGATCGTGCGTACAAGCCATTCTTCTTCTTCTCCAATTCGGTGGTTGTCTGCAGTCTGCTTTCCCTGCACGCAGCGAAGAAGGAGAAGAAATTTCTGGAAAAACAGTCTGTCGCGTGCAAGCGAATCTGTGTTCTGGCGATGAAGTGTTACAAACTCCCCGTTTTAACTTTTAAGCATCACTCCACGATGAAGTGTAAAAACTAAAAAGACATGAGACGTGATAACTATTGGAAGTATATTTAGTTTTGTTTGAGTTTCTTAGCTGAAATAACATATTTATCTCACATGTTATTTCATTTTCTGTGAGGGTAGTGTTTATACTGAGTTACGTAACGATAAGAGAAACGACAAAACTAAAACAAAATAGATTAGCATACTATTCTAATTCTAGTTAAGAGAGAATCCAATATCCAACCATAACAGATAAGAAATCTCCTCCTCAGAAAAATATGAGTTTTTAAACAAAACAAGAAAAAAAAAAACACAACTACAAAACGAAATCCATGTCATCTACTAGCTAGTTAAATCATCGTGCCTTCGATTGTCACATATGACCAACTCCACCTGCTGCAACTAACAATACGATAGTTGCAGCTCCGCCCATCCAAGCAGCAACCCACCAATCAACGAGAACTGCGGCCACCGACGACGAGGCTGGAGGAGGAGGGCTAGGACCGTGATCATGCGGCGGCCACGGAGTAGCTGCCGGCGGCACCGAGTGGTGGGACGAGTTTCCACCGCTGCCACCAGCCGCTGGTGGGAGGGAATTAGGGGTCGGCGCTGGAGCTGGAGCACGGTGATGGTGGTGGTGATGGTGGCTGTGGTTGTGGGCCGTAGTAGCAGTCGTCAAAGCTGCGGCTACGACTAGGATTAATAGTATCGCCGGCGTCGTCTTTGCCATGCTTAAAAGTCTAGCCATTTATTTCCCGGTAGCTATATATTTGTTTCTGAGTGTGGCTGTGTGGGTATGGTGAAACTCTCGTACGTACTTATAGTGATCGTGAGAGTAGACCGTAGAGAGTACGTAACTTACTGCTGGTAAATTCCCACCATTAATTTCATTCAATGCATTCAAAGTAGAGCCTTTTAATTTAAGACATAATACCCACCGGTTGCAACAAAAACGGACAACTCGCAGTGAATAGTGTGTGATCTACGACGACAACTAGTCATTCCACAATCCGTTTTTTTTTATATAGCTCATTTTGCAACTAGTTCTTTTCGATGCCGTACTTGACTACTTGGTAGGTAGCAATAACCAGGTTTGGATAGGAGAGAAAGATAGATGTGATATTTGGATTTTGAGGTGTAGAAATTTGAGAGCACCAGAAATGTGTTATTGGAGAACAAATACCTCATCTCATATTATTGTGTGATATTTTAGAATAAATACAACATATCAAATAACAACTATTGTGTTATGTGATAATTGTGTGATATTTGAACTCATATACTACATTTGACAAATAACACTTCGACGTACACAAGCATTTTTTATATGAAACCTTTGGGTTTTCTTTGTTAAAATATATGGTACACTTAATATTATAAGAATAATTTTCATATAAAAATACTGTAATTTCAAGAAACATATATATACCCTCATCATCTCTAATAGGTTCTAATAGAAGAAAAGAAGCTCAAACAGATAAAGGAATCAAAGCCATTTCACTAGGCAAACTGTCTACTAACCGGCTGGGGATGATTGAAGTTCGGTTTAGTTAGCCAATCACTCCCAGTGCCAGTAACCAACATTCTGCCCTCTACCCAAAACCTAAACTAGCCATATGTAGTCTTCTGTACAACTACAGGTGAAGAAAATCTATGGAAACAAGCTCAGCCACCGCACCATTACATGCATATGCTCACATAAAAGCAAAATGGTGACGAAAACTACTACTACTGTGCAACAACACAAACGATATATATCAAACCCAGAAGAAGAATGATCAAGAAACCGAGTCACATCTCACTCACCACCACACTTTCAGAATCCCAACACCTGCTGAGAAATGTGCAGCAATGGCTCGAGAGTACTCGGCGAGAACTTCCTCGCAAAGAGATTACAAATCTGGAACTCCTCCCGGTCATTGTACTTGCATTTCTGCGAGTCATATATCTTCTTGAAGAACTCCGCCGTGATATCTGCCCCTCCAAAGGTGGCTGGGTGGGCCCCGCCTCGTGACCAGTCAACCCACGTGATGCTCCGATTCGCCAGCTCGTTCGGTGCTTCGATTGTCAGCATTGTGGGGAAGTAGTGCTCGTCGACGTAACAGTTAGGCCTGCAGAACTCCTCGAACTTCGGGTAGTATTTTGTGTCTTCCACTATGCTGACAGCAAGGTTTCGTCTTAACTCGAACCACTGGGAGCCTTTCCGCCACTGCGTGATGTTCACCTCGGGGGCCATATTCTCGTTGTACCGGCCCCTGCCATAGGGCCCCTCATCGTCGAACGCGCCCATGAAGCTCTGGTTTGTACTCCTTATGTAGCGGTATATGATGCTGAAGTTATAAAGAGGAATGCATGATTCTGAGAGGAGAATGAACCACTCGTTTGAGATGTCGAGCAAAGCGTTTGCGAGGAGTCTTCTCTCGGCGTCACACATGCTCATCTTTCCCCATTCGGAAACCTGCACAAACGTAGTCGAAAATGTAAAGGTCTTTCGCCTAGAGAAGGAAACCATAACTGCCCCCAAAATCTTGTGACCACTGTCCATATGAATTTGGCTTCTGCGTGATTGAGCCCTATACTTGAACCTTAAGAAATAAACTAAGCTGAAGTTCCTCAATCTTAACATAGGGGGCCATCATAGAACTTAACAACATTATAATATCCAGCATCTTCACCACAAAATAACCCAAATTTTCAGCTGAACAAGACATGTATTTCTTCTACCAGCTCGGATTTGTGACTTCAAAATGAGCTCAAAACAGATTCCTCGTTAAATAGGCTATAGGCTACATCTAGCAATGAGTATGCATAATTATACTTATCAGGATTACGCTGACACATTTTGCCACGGTAGTTTGTTGTCAAATGACCAATAGATAACACAAGTTGCAAGATTTACCTCTACTGAAGGCTCCTAATTGCAAAGCTCTGCACTCTTGTATAAATAAGTGCTGCTTTGCCTAAGATGGACTCTCTGCTGATGTAAAGGTATAACTTACATCTAAAGTACCATCTAAACACTCAGGACAACAGATGCAGGTATGAAATGGGTGCACCACAGGACATAATAATAGCTAGATTTCTCAGGTCCGACATATGACATACATTACAAGGAATATAGGATAGAACACCCTGCTTTCCCTTCAGATACGGATTCCAAGAGCAAAAAGAAAGTACGTCATTATTTCACATTAGAAGCACAGCACATCTACATGCTGCATTCCAGAAAATATTAAATATAGTGATGCGTAACTATCGAGATATTCTAGATGAAATGTGTATGGTAATCCTCCCCACTACCTAAAGCAGCATCAAACTAACCTTACGAAGATCTACTGAAATCCCCATAGATGTCTGATTTTACCACTTGTATATTTCTCATCAGGACTCATTGCTCCCTCAAATTCAATCAGTAAGCAAAACAAGGGGTGAAAGGAACCGTGTCATGGCTTCTCTATGTTCATAACCTAAGTAAAATTCTATCCCTAGTCCTATCAATAACCAAACCAGTTGACCCAAATGCGGGAGGAAAAAAAAAAACGAAATGAAGCAAGAACACATGAGGGTCACAGTCAGACACACACCTTACTAGGGACCTGCCTCCGGTAGAAAACCGACGAAGGTGGGAACTTGGCTTCGAATGAAGGAAGGGAATGTAGGTAAATGGAGTATAGCCCCTGATGGCCACTGAAGAACCTCTCCCAAAGAGGTGCAAGGGGCAAGGGACCCTTGGACAAGAACATGAAAGCCACCTTTGGAACCCTGCTGAAAGGGTATTTCTGTATTCGAGGGACAAGTGTAGCCCTCCAGAACAACTCCTCGTCGCTCATCCTGTGGAGCAAGTTCGATGGTGGGGCGATAAACCGCTCGAGCGTCGCAAAAGAGTCAGCGGCAGCACCACCAATGCAGCTGGGGATGAAGCCCGACCTGACGGTGGTGACCACATTCTGCACTCCGAACCGCCTGATTGCGTAGATGCTGATGAAGGAGAATGCGAAGCATAGGGATAGGAAGAGAAAGAATAATCGGAGCATGCGCAAGGGGAATCCCCTGGATTGAGTAGGGATCGCCGTCTTGATTGAAGGAGGCGGAGGGGGATTTGAGTCTTTGTTGCTTTCCTCGAGTGATACCACCACTCGGGATTGCATAGCTTCCGGCGACGGTGATCGGAGAAAATCCCACCTGTTTTCGTTAACGATTCCGATCAAATTATCAGCGAAAAGGAAGAAATTCGAAATGACGAACGGGGGAAGAAGCGGGGATGCTTACTGTGTGCATACAGATCTAAGGTAGAGCAAGGAATCAGGAATCAAATGTGATAGGGGAACGAGCCGTCATCTTCTCTTCCTTCAATTTAACGACGGTGGCGGTGGAGGTGGTTGTTGATTTTGGAGCAGGTTTCCCGGCCGAAAGCGCGGTGGTGAGGGAGGGGGGAAAGGGGAAAGGTGGCCTTGTTGTTGGTTTGCTTCCGCACGGTCCTGAAATCGTTGAGAGAATGTTTTACACTTTTACTTTCTCGCACGCCATTTTTCTTTTATAATTTTGACGCCTGTTCATCTGTCTCCGCTTTTTTTTAAATTAATTTTTAAAGTCTATTTCCGCGAGCTTTCTAGCCTTGGGCTGTTGGGCATCGGCGCATCTTTGGTGAGCTGGCAGGACCCAAGTGTCGACGTGGTTGCGGGGTTTGTATCGTAATCTCCGGCTCGTCCAGAGCCTCTTCTTTCGTTGCCTTTAATTGAAGGGGCAAACAAAACCTTCCAAAAAAGAAGAGAGAGAGAAGAAAAAAAAAGGAAACAAGAATTACTGTGAAAAAGGGTGTAAATTGGAAGACTTTGTTACCGGAAAACTCACCAGATTTCAGTGACTCGGTTGGTCAAAAATCTGAATCTAGTTAGTCCTATAATGAGAAAGACGCAACACATGTTGATTTCGTTACATCATACATTCTGAAATTTCTTTCAGTTGTCAAATGCACACAGAAATGTCAGCCGCCACATGCATTTAACAGGTTGTATCGATCGATCTGATCGTGCAACCCGACGACTTTATCCCCAGCGGCCCGGCAAGATGCTTTACATGCTTGTTCTCTTAAAAACTGTAAAGGGAATCCATTTGGTTGTTGAAATGGCGGCATTAAACTCCTCCAGAAGCTAAGCCTAACTTAGGTAGCTGCCATCTCACCCGCCCAAACCAACCTACCAATTTACCTACTAACCTCCATCCATCTTCCACACCTATCTATTGATTGACATTTTACACCCTTCCTCTTCTTTTCTTCCACAAAAGCAACCTATTGCTATCGAAATCACAAACCAACCCGACGAGCTGCCGCTGTTTTCTAGCTCCTACCAAGTCTTTATAATGTCATCCCGACTCCTGCAAACTCAAATTTGGATTCATATCCTAGAGGAACCACCACAATTGGCCAATAGAATCCCATGAACATCTGTTTACAGAAACAACTGACAAGTTCATCGGAGCTCAGACACTCTTGAAGAACAATTGAAAACCACATGCACTCCCACTGAACAATGACAACACTCTTTCCACACCACTTCACAAGAGTTAGTTTTTATGTACCCCAAAGACAGTAGTAGTAGTGCTAGTACGGAATTTGCAGATGATGCATGCAGAAAGACCAATCATTTCCCCTTTGCAACCACAAATCCAGATTTGAGGTTCGATATCATGACTGAGCACTTTCCCTTCTCGTCGTACTCCATAAACTCCCCGTCAGACAAGTCAATGTCCTCGAATTTAGTCCCTGCAGCCTGTAAAAGAGACCAGCAACTCTTAACACAGTGTCTCATATTAACTTTTATAACCCTCTGGTAATATAACCATGATTGTTACTAAGTTTCCAAAAAACATGCACAGGCAGCCACCATTTTAACTTCGTTTGAGCATTTGCGTTGTCGAATAAATTTGGACTATATCGATTCACAATCACATAGAGGATGAATAGACTTGCTCAGACAGTCTAAAACCACGAAATCTTCCATGATAACTGATCCTGATTCAGAAGTATCAATGCATTCGCTGTTTATTAAATGACTCAATCTTGTTGCAGCCTATCATTGTCTCTCAATAAAGTTATGTGATAACATCTAAGTGATTTTAACATTACTGATGGACCCCAAAGCCTGAGGTGATGCGTAGTATTAGTCATGACTCCTAGAAACCAACGTAGAGTAAACAGAACTTCAATTTTCTACATCTTGCGATGGCATAACAATCAAAACTCACAAGAGAATCACCAATACACTATCAATCACAAGACCATATTTCCCAGAAAAGAAACGATTTGAGTAAATTGAACTTTGATTTGCCACGATGATAAAAAACAAACAGAAATAGATTGAAGCTACCGTAAACACCAAAATTTCCTCACTGATCGCTAAGAATCAACAGACTCCATTCCCAGAGGTCTATACCAAAAAACCAAGAATTGTTGTGTAGGAGCAGAAATAGGAGAAGGGACAGCACAGTAAGTCAAAGAATGGAAACTTACTGTTTCAACCATCCATCCACCCTCAAAGAGAAATCCCACAGGCTCGTAACCTCGGCAATCGAACATCATCAATCCTGTATACTTCCCAGCTTCACTGAGTTCCTGGGTGAGTGGTTTACCTTTCCCCGGGATCAAGGACACAGTTCCTTCCCTCTCACAAAACTTGCACTGTGGAGAGTGAAGTGCAGATGGACAATAATAACACAACCATTCATTACAAAGGAAACTAGCAACACATCCAATGATTCAAGTTTTCAAAGCAATGAATAATCTTGATAACCATACCAAATCGTAACAGAGCAGGAAAATGCCATGCATCACACAAGAAGGTATCACCAATATTATTTTACTAGAGTACAATTGAAGCTTAATCGCAGTCCTGAATTACCGACATGACCTTAGCCACTGTAGCAATTGGAACTACTCTGTGCTTACTGCTAGCAAGATCCATCCTCATAACTGATTGATACGCCTATGTATGCTAAGCACACAACATTTAACAGATCATAACCACAAATAAGGACGAGGCTGACAAGATAAAGAGTAAAACCAGAAGTGGTTACCTTCTGAACAAGATTAGCAGTGCCCTTGCTACCCGGAATTTGAACCGATCTCTCCAAAGCAACACAAGTTTCCTTATCGGTCAGCTCCCCGCAGCTTCCACATTTCATCTACAACATCTCCAAAATCCTCGCGTCAGATACACGAACAAGCCTAATCGCCATTCACAAACTAATTCGCACAAACAGATGCTCGACAAAAATTTCAGATGAAGACGAAATAGAAGCGTCTCAAGCGAGGAGCCAAGCGAACATCTCGAAATCGATGGAGGCGATCAGAAACGAAAAACCCTAGGACTTGATAAACAGAAGTTTACAGAGCTAGATAGAAGAGAAGGAAGATAAAGAGGTAGATAGAGGTTTGAAAGGGAACCTTGAAGAAATAGGTGAAAGAAGGATCGTCGCAACCGCCCTGAGGCTGGAGAGTGGCGACGTTCTCAAACTCGGCAGTGATCATCAGCCAGTAGTTCACCATGTTCGGATTTCGCCGTTTCAGAAATCAAGCGAAGCGAAGCTCTCTTCAAACTCTTCGCGTCTCTCTTACTGTGGTATATTGCGAATGTGAATCTCTTCCCACGCCAAGAGTCGAGCACTAGCAAATGAACTGATCGGCTGCTATAAACAAAGCACAGTAACAACATAACCTCCACGCTATAATGTTCGTTTGCAGATGGGTTGAAACTCGGGAGTCAACGACGACTATACTGCGGTAATGGGCCCTGGTCCCTGGACCTGGGCTTGCGCATATAGTTAGAGCATCAATGCAAAGCAATTATGTTTTTTAATGGCAATTCAATTCTTTTGCAATTCACCTCAATTCTTTTTCGTTCACCTACATCAGTATAATTAATTTACAATTGCATATATAATTACATATTATATTTAAACTATAAAAATAAAATAAAAAATTCCATGGTTCTAGGCCTTTTTGACTTGCAATTGCATTTGTTAGTCATATCAATGTCATGTCATCTTGCAATTGAGATTGCAATACCAATGTGGATGCTCTTAATGAGTTGGCAAGCACACTATCGGGGAAACCCCATTACCGTCTTTGTTCGGTTCAGAAAACTAACCCAAAAGTAGTGTCGGTTGGATTATTTCCAACTAAATTGATTGGATTCGATTGGATAGCAACGGTGATGACTTCTTTTTTTCATCCTTATTTCATATCCATTTTGAGTGGGTTGTAAAGTTGGGAGCCACCGAGTTTGGGGTGAGTTTTTCTAAACTACCCTCGTCTCCATTTCCAAATACTAAATCTACCACCAACTCCAGTATACTTTTTGCAGGTTTTATCTATATTTGGAATTGTTAGTTTAATTGTCATCCTGAGTTGACTTAGAATATATGTTTGGCCCTAAGTTTTCTTATGGCTAGGGATCTATAATGGTTCGATCCAAAGGCGACCGAAACTCATTAGAATGGTGGTCTAGTAGTGAAAGATATCTTAGAAGCAAAAAACCTGACCACCATTGCATCCTGTCAGATTTGAAATTTCTATAGAATGTCAAGGGTGGTTTGGGACCTCCAACTGCTAAACTAGGGGTATAAATCGAAAGAGCTATTGTGTTTTGGTCAGAGCTCGAGAATTGGCTATCGACAGTCAAAGACGGACTATTGAAAGTCGATATTCATACCATCAAATATACGTTCAATTTAGATCATTTAGCGGGTACCAAAATTGGTGGTTCGAATGGAGTTTTTTTTAATGGAGAATGGAGTTATGATCGTAGACACGGTGCTACTCTACTGATCTCCTAAGCTATGAGAAATCTTTTCGGTGCAAATATCAATTCTATCCATTTTTTCTATATTTATAAAATTCATACCGAATACATTATATTACATTCGATCCAATTCAGTATGATGTATTTTCAAGCATCGGACCAGAACAAAATAAACCATTGCACACACTGTCGTTCCCAGAAGAAACTACAAGTGCCCTTAGATCATCTAAGGTTAGCTAGTTGCCTCGGTTTAGTAGTAGACTCAAACAAATATAGCAAAACTGAAGAAAGATGGAAAGCACATTTTAGTATTTTACTCTAGGGGCACTGTTCATATCGATGCGTTAGTCCTCCAGCACGCGGCATATCTACATTCCAGAATAGCCTCTACTAAAGTTAAATGGATCAAAAGTCCAAAACCCCACTACAAACAACAATAATCGATAAACAGCAAAAATTGCATACCATTACAGGGAATCTCCAAGCACCTGACTAAACAGATTCATTTTGCTTCCTCTCTTCTTGTATCGACTGAAAGATCCGAGCTGCTGATTCAGTTGCAGACCTGGAGTTATGCGGCACGACCCTAATCACCCTAGAGACGTTACCTGATCGTTGAGGAGCAGCTCCAAATGCAGAAGGAGCTCTTGGGAAAAGTTGAAGAGATGCATCATCTCTTATATCACCCCGCTGCTGAATGCTACCGACTACTTCCACTCTCTCGCTAATGCTACTCGCGGTGCTTCTTTGCAGCTCAGCTTCTTTAGAAGTTACCCGGATCTCCGCCACTGAGACAGCCCCACTCTTCTGAGTTAGCACTTCCACGTTATGTTGAACGTTGAAATTCGCCCCACTTCCAGACAACTGACTGATTTGACCATGGGAACCCGATCCTGGGAAGCAGTTCGACTGGTCAACTGCTGAACCCGAGAGAGCGGAGCTCATGACTGACATACCATATGGAGGGAAGCAACCCATTCCCTGTTGAAAATAAGTTGGAAGTCCGTAGCCTGGGTTCATGAAGTTTCCCATTACAGGAGGAGGGCCGTATGCTCCATATCCTCCACAACCAGGTCCCATTTGTCCAGGGGGTGCATAAGGTTTGTACACGAGTCCTTCGGTAGGGGACATGACAGGGACCAACCAGTGCTGGCCAGTGGCTTGGTGGAAATTCCATGAACTCGTCGTGTTGTTGCTGTCTGTGATTGCGGGAACTGGAACTTGGTTTCCTACATGAGGCGGCCTGTAGGTTGTTGGTGGCTGACTATGGTTTCCAAGAGACTTCCCAACAGCATTCTCTGCAGAACCTTCCATCTTATTATGACTAGGTTCTTGTGAATCATCTTTTCTTTTGGTACCACGCGCTGGCTGCAGCAGGACGTACTCGGCTTGAAGTTTCTTCATTGGAGAGCCAGGAATGGATGATTTTGTGAGGAAGTTGCTCTCTTCCACCAAAAGATGCGGAGCACCAGCGATCAATTGTTGAACCTAAATAAACATGTGAAGTGATTTTCATACTACTGTGCATAGTCATGTTTTTGGAATGGAGAATACCTTTTGTCCCACAAAAGCTAGTTAGAGAAATACTGCTATAGTGTGTTACCTTGATGAGTCTATGCAACTCAAACACTTGAACCGCAAAAACTCTTTGTTGACTGCAGAGAGAGGAAGAGGAATTTGATTATGAACAGACAAATCAAACAAAAGTTCGTTATGCCAAAAAAAAAAGTTTGGTAAGAGAACTCCGGTGCAAGCAGCAATGCAATATAAACAACAGAAATAGTTTAAACGTCAACTAGCAATCAGGTTGGGTACAGCATTGCTAAAATGGTTGAAGATATCATTACGAATAATGAACACGAAGACTGCTATTTTCAAAAAGAAATAGCACCTGTAACTACTTGCTTGCTGAAAGCATGGAAGCTGCGCCACACAATTAAGTGCGTAGTAAAACAATATCCTTAAATGAACAATACCAGAGGCTGAATTTCTCACATGACACACATGTAGTATACCTCCAGCCTTGGACAACTTAGTTTTTTTTATTTTTTTCATATGCACATACCACCAAACTTTCTGAAAGGGCTCGTGGCCAACTAGATAACAGGAATCAAGTGTCTATAATTCTTATACCCTGGAAGAGAGAGCTTGACATATATGTTAGTGGCTGCGAAATTCAGATATAAACAGAGGCCATAACAGTAGATCATCCAATACAAGAAGATAAGCCAGGAACTCAAATTTTGAATTCAACCATGCTGACACAACGTTTCCATGCCTTCTACTTGCAGAACTCTTCCGGGAAGGATAAAAGTAGCTCATGCGCTTGAAATAAATTTAAATAATTGATGACACATGTTTCCCAACATAAAACTAAAACAAATTTATGCCAAGACCTGGCATTCCTACAACATAACTCTCCATTTTCCCATCTGCAACTCACCTACTGATAGCTCCAGGAACCATCTCCAGCAGATGTTGGTTACGTGCTAAAGGCCCTCGAGGATAAGTAATTTGCCCAGTGGTCAGAAAGAAAATATGCAATCCTATCCAAGATAGGAGTATAACCAAAGAGAACAAAGTGCTAAAGAACTAGATATATAAGACGATCTACTATCCCGGGGGCACCTTGAACGAAGTACCTCAATCACCATTATCACTACCCCCTGTCGCAGGAACTTCCACATTGAAATGTTATCAAGGGCTTGAGCACCAAAAACACGCCAGATTGGTTGGAGACTCCCCACTATCTAGTTCTCCCTTGCCACTGACCATGATAATTGCAAAATAGGCAATCATTTCATTCCTACAGTTAACATTCTGCCTGACATTTAAACAATCTAACAAAGTCAGATTGTGTAAATATGAAGAGAAGTAACCCAAGAAACAAGGAAATGAGGAAGCTCTAGACACTCCATCTCCATTACTATTGTGACATACATATGGAGCAGCCAAATAGTCCTCTAGACAAAACTTAATAACAAATTTGAACAATAATTGTCTAAACAACCTCATAATTTCTTAGTAGCAAACTTGGGCGAAGGAAAGACCAGACCTTAGACGGGTTCAATCAGTATGGCAGATAAAATTCCCCAAGCTTCAAGATTTCAAATGTAAGACAATATATAGCTAAGATTAGTTCCCAGATAAATAAACGCCTTCAACATGACAATATTGCAAAGTAAAAATCTCACGACAGACTTGCACGTTTTGTAACTACAAAAAAGAAGGCAGGTCTCAATTTTTCATGATGAGTTACAATACTTACTTGACAATTGCTCTTCTAGCTTTCCAGAAATGTTTCTGACCAATCATATCCACAACATCATCCGGAGATATGTCCAAGGGTTCGGCAGAGTCAACAATGGATGTGTCAGATGCATCGTCCCCTTTATCAGTATTTCTCACTGGTATTGACACGTCCACCTTGGTAACACAGGTGCCACTGCCCTCATTGGGTGTACATGGCTCTTCACAAGAACCCAAGCTGTCCTTTCGCACAAGGACATCATTTTTCTCTGTTCCCCTTCGCCGCATCTCAGGAACAGCATCACCAAGTGCACATACATTTGACTGCAACCATGCAGGCTGCTGTTGATTACCATGAGAACGTTTTTTCGGGTGTACAATTGCTTCATCCCCAGACTCAGCAAAATTTTCTCTAGTATGCAAATTATCACTTGAAATGCATGGATTTCCTCCATGTCTTGAATGGGGATCAATGGATGACGCACACTGGGTATCAATATAGCCAGTATTCTGAGCTTTGTTGGAATGACATGAATGCATCGAGCTAAATGGAGCCAGCTCTTCCACATTAGAACGTTTTCTCTGCAACTTGGACGCACCTGTATTTACAAATACTGGAACAGTGAAATCATCTTCGTCTCCGGCCTTCTTCCTCTGCTCACGTGGCGCCAAAGAACTGTTCAAGTTCCCAGCACCGGGCTGGAAAGAAGGCAGTTGATCGGCTAGAGTTGGTGGCGAGGATAAAGTCCTTTCAAGCCTACTCGCCTGCACATATGATGGTAATCAGTCTTACGGCATTCTACAAACTATTCTACCCATTCGATCAATATTCACAATCCCTTAAGATAACAGTGGGCAAAGCGTCACCTGGCTGGAAGACCCGGCAGGAGCCAAGTTACTTGGATTACGAGGCAAAACCCCAGAATTAAACCTTTGAGATGGAATGCTTAGCTGCTCATAAAGGGCCATCTTGTTCCTTGGAGGCGCTCTTGGGCCCCCTTTCTCTGTATCATTCACATGGAGCCTCGGGAATAATGGCCCCATCATCTTCTCATCGTCTTTCCCTCTCTTCATCCCAACTCTCTCTCTCTCTCTCTCTCTCTCTCTCTCTCTCTCTCTCTCTCTCTCTGATTCCACCTAAGCTTTTGAAATGAACAATCAACCACCTTCCATAAGCAACTGGAAGAACTATTTCGCCGAACTAACTAAAGAACCACAGAATCAGAAGCAGCAACAAACCTCGAGTAATCCACAACGACCAAATCTCAACTGGGTAGAGATCAGGATTCCAGAAGCAACAACCCTCTCACCTAGAAAGACGAAAAGGAGAATAGAAGGCTTGAAAAAGCGACGGCGGCGAGAGACCCAAGCTGCCGGCGAGAAAATGAAACAAAGAGAAGAAGCTGAAATTAGGAGGGAGAAATCGAAATCGAAATCGGGAGAGAGAAGGGGGGATTCTGTGAACGTGGGTTGGGAAATCAGTTATGCGAGATTTCGGCGAGGAATTGGTAAAGAGGAAAGGGCGACCGGCGGAAACGGGTCGGTGAGGATACACGAGGGATTTCAGGGGAGGAAACGGAGAAGAAAGACAGATGAAAACAGGTGTGGTGAATGGAGGAAAAGGCGAAAAGGGAAGCGATGGAAGAGATCAAAAAAGCGTTCTATTGTGGGACCCAGTCGGGTGTGGATAGACCTAGAAGAAGTTGATTGCCCTTTTGTGTGTTGTTTATTGCATTTTTATTTTTAATACGTTCTTTTGACAGCTCCCCAAATCTTTTATTTTGGTAAGAAAATGGGTGCAAAGTGACTAGGGATGACGTCGGGGGTGGGAATGAGTTATGGTGAACGGTGATATCATTTGATTAACTGTTTTTTTTTTAATCTTATGATTAAGATTTTTTTGGGTAATTTTGAAAATGAAAAAGTGACCACACACGATTATTCTATATAATCTATCCAAATTTTAGTTCTATCCTCTTTTCAGGTGACTACTTAAACTCAATATGGGTCCAACAGGTGGACATCCAATACTTGGTCGCCTTATATTTTTTGGGAGCCCATAGCGACTAGTATATAAAAGAGTTTGGCGTTGTGGTTCACAAGATACTAAGACCAAACACTCTCTTCTTCTCTTCACGTGGAAGATTAGAACATCAGGCATAGGAGTTAAGGTGGCTTGGTTGAGGAAGGTCGCAAAATCTCATGAATCGTGCTTTAGGAGTATCGTCCAGTTCAAAGTCGTCGTTCATATTCCACATCAAGACTCTGACGATCTACCATCATAAAAGATTTGTCTTAGAGAGAAAACTCATGAGCACATAAAATTGATGAAATATGATATATCTTCACTTAAACAGAAGTGAAGTGTTGATAAATGTCACTCTTTGCTATCTTACAAACGTTACTTATATAATAAATAACTTCTACTCAATGACATACCTATCGTCGACCATGATGACCGACTTCATACTACGAGTGATTATACATATCCTTGAAGTGACTAGATATACACTTATCGAAATAAAATTAATGAACTTATATAATTAAACGATGGGACAATCAATCACTCCCTACGCTCACACTTAGGTGTTGTGAACTTCAACTCGTTGACCGTTGTAGGAGTGGAATTGCATAAAAAATCAAACTAAGCATCACATCGGCCCAAATTTAATAGACATCGTACAATGAGGATGGGGATGGGCGAAAGCCGTTATTGGGCCGTTGTAATTTGTAAGTGCTCCTGGCATGGAAAATGAAGGGAGCCCAGCGAGGTCCATCCGAACTCAGAAGTAGCCACTTCTACTCTGTATAGAAAGTCTATCATACGATTACCAAATAAACAATCAATAATACGTGATGAGATTAATGGTGAAAATGTGATTAAATAATAAATTAATAGTTACTTAGATTAATTTCCAATTGTCAGCTAGAAATTAGTTAAATTTGATTTTCCATTGACGGAAAGTAATTAAATAGATTTTCCTATTTTATATTTTATTTCCATTTGGACAAATGACAACAACAGCTGGTTTCCGTTTCACCTCATTTTCCCAGCTGTATATATACGGGTAGCGGCCGGTGTGTTTTCCCTCGCCTTCTGCTTGTTTGTTAGTGATAGTCCGTAGCCGGGAAAACCCAAATGGAGACGACTTAGCAAAAACCACCGGCGAAGGCGAAATTCAGCAGTGCTCTGCAAGAGAAAAGCTAGCAAAGAAACACTTGCGCTGCAATCTTGACGGTTACTTGGATCAAATGGCGTCGTCGTCTTCTTCTCCCGCCTCCTCTTCCCATCCGCCGCCCATTCCTCCGGTTCCGAACGCCGGTAATCCAATTCCTCCTTCGCTCTTGCTTTGCGCTTTCCTTCTGTTAGCTCGCTTGAACTTGAGCGAGCGAAGAAACTAGAATGGAGTTCAATTGGAATCCGAATCCCTTGATTTCTTTATCGCGTTTAGCTTCACTGTTTTGCCTGAACTGTATGAATGATCGTTCGTTCGTTAGCGAAACCGGTTAGAGATTTTCTTGGTGCTTAACTTGATTACTATCATTCATCGCAGGCGGTGGAAACCTAGATCACGATGCTCAGTTCCCGCCGCTTCCGGTTCTAGTCGTCACCGAGCCTTCTCAACTTCCAGTTGAGTTCCTTAACCCGTCGCCGGACCATGAACTCGTCGTCGGCTTTGATTGTGAAGGCGTTGATCTCTGTCGCACCGGAAAACTATGCATTATGCAGGTAAACGATTTGTATAGCCGGAAAACCGTTTCCGACGTCACTCTGCTTTCTTCTTCGTTTCTGTTAGTGTGTGTATAGATTCGGTAGAATCTTCGTGCTTCTCTGGATCGTTAAGTATGGAATCCGTTTATTGCGTATATTTCCTGCGAATGCGATAATGGCGATCCAAAATGAAATTGATTCTCTGTTTCCAGCGTTCCTGCGTCCTTGTTTCTGTTAGTGTGTGTATAGATTCCGTAGAATTTACGAGCTTCGGTGGTCAGTCAAGTATGGAGTCCGTTTCTTGCGTATCTTTCCCTGCGATCACTGCAATCCAATTATGGACTCTACTCTCTGTTTCCTAGCCTTTCTGTGTCCTTGCTTCTCTTAGTGTGTGTATAGATTCTGTTGAATCTACGAGATCGGAGATTCTGTGGTTTGTCAAGTATGGAGCCCGTTTCTTGCCTATCTTTCCGTATGCTCGATGAAATCCAATAATGGACTCTAGTTCCTTGTTTGTGCCTTCTCACTGGTTTTCTTGCCTGATGGCAGCTTGCGTTTCCAGATATCATCTACATTGTTGATGCTATTGACGGAGGGAAGGCAGTTATGGAAGCTTGTAAGCCTGCACTGGAGTCGAGTCATGTCACAAAAGTAATCCATGATTGTAAAAGAGACAGTGAGGTCTGTATTCAGTGATCTTATTATGTTTCTTGCAGCTCCTTTAGATTGACTGCTAGCGAATGTTCACATTTTGTTCTGCTGATCTTTTGCTGTAGGCATTGTACTTTCAATTTGGCATTAAACTGCATAACGTCATCGACACTCAGGTAACGAGATTCTCAACTTGCTGTAGGCCTGTATCTAGTAGATGGAACTCTTGCCCTGAAGCTGTTACATTGGATCCATCATTTAAATCTTAGTTCAGCCTGTTATCAGTTATGGTAGTTCAGTATATGAGTCTTCAACTATTCATGACAAATGTTACCTATCCACCATTCTTTTGTCCAGATGTTTATACATTTTTACTCTACTTTTGCAGATTGCTTTTTCACTGATAGAGGAGCAGGAAGGACGGCACAGAGCACCAGATGACTACATATCGCTTGTTAGCCTGATTGCTGATGCAGACTATTGTGGTACTTACTTAATGTTTTGGATTTATTATATCCATTCATTATGGTGCTGAACTCTAGTCATTAGCTAGAATCATGTTAGAATGCTTGTCACTAGTAGCAAATCCTTCCTACTGATCTATGTTTAGGGTGGATCATCTGATGTGGACTAGATAGATATTCAGGCTGCATGTGTTGGTTTGTAAAAATGATATTGATGGGGCTACGCTGTCTAACGTTCCTCTGTATAAAAGGACATAGTTGTCAGCTGTTAACCATCAATCAATATATAGACAGACACAGATAGCTCTGCATGGACTTAGGTACTCCTGTGCAGTTGTGTAAAACTTTGTCTTCAGTCTCTTTGCCTCTTCTGTCAGATCGCTCTCCATGTGCTGCGAAATTGTTGTGAAGTGAATGTATGGATATTTGCATCATTCTCCTCTTCGCTCCTGATGAATGATAATGGCTCACATTTCAGGTGTAGAATATGCGGAGAAGGAAGAGGTTCGTGTTCTTCTTCGGCAGGTCGGTTAAAACATATCTATCCTTCGAATAGTTAATAATGGATGAGTTTCTCTTTTAGGATCTGTAGTTGACCAGATTTCAGTAATCAAGGTGTTAGATTAGGGTTGTCATCCTTCATATTTGATGTCATGTACTGTTTCTTGTCATTGAAATAGATTCTGTTTGGCATGTGTACATAAGGGTGTTAGCGCTCGCCTAGCTAAGCTTCACTTGTTTGCAATTGAGTCACTGCATGAAGTTTTATATGACTTTTCCCTTGTGCTCACTGCTTATCATCAGGACCCTAAGTTCTGGGAGTACAGACCACTTTCTGAGATGATGATACGTGCAGCTTCCGATGATGTCCGCTTCCTCCTCCACATCTATCAGAAGATGAAGGAGAGACTAAATGAAAGATCGCTATGGTGCCTCTCTGTTCGTGGTCAACTTTACTGCCGGTGTTTCTGCGTCAATGACAATGACTATGCTGATTGGCCACCTCTCCCTGTGCTTCCAGGTAAGTAGAGTGTATTTTCAGCTTTGTGTTTTTTATACTCCACAGATAGCCATGCCTAGTTAATTAATAGAGACTGATCTACTTGTATCCTTATAGTACTTGGCTTATACTTCGTGGTTACCAGTTTTGATTCTTGCATACACAGTGAAAAATTCTAGTGGTTAATTTGAGTGCATAATGTCTTCTAATTTAATGCGTCCACTACTGTCTGCATGACTTGTCTAGAGAAAGATGAAGGAAATAATGATGGCCCTGAGGAACAAATCCTCACTGTTGTCAATGTTCCACCTGGACAAATGGGACTTGTAATTGGAAAAGGTGGATCTACAATTCGGTTCATAAAGGAATCCTGCAAGTAGGCTCTCTCTCTCTCTCAGCTTGATCTGTTTACCAATTCTTGGCCAGCTAGGCACTTACGTTTATTGAAATGGATAATTCGCAGTGCTGAAATTTTCATGGGAGGATCAAGGGGTCCACCTGATAAGGTGAGATTTTCTAACCACCATTCCGAGGCATAGGGTCTCGCAATGGATCTAGCGTAAAAAAACCCTGCAGCTAAACATATTATATCATCATTGCAGAACTTTGTTACCTTTTCCACTAGTTGGCTTTTGATATTGTCACCATAAGCTGCATTATTTTCTTGCTCGTAGGTTTTCGTAATTGGATCCGTGAGAGAAGTGATGAAAGGAGCAGCAATTGTGAGGGGAAGGCTGATCACCTTCTGATTCGTTAAACTGACATGCTCGCTTCATCTTTGTAATAACCCCATTGTGAGTTCTCCCAACTCTTACTACTACTTCCATTTGCTTGATTTAACCGGTCTCATCATTTTACTACCGAGTGCTCACTTTGGCCATCTTTTTCTGATTTTCGTACAGCTTGCTAACCGATCATACTCTGTCAGCAAACAACGATTTCCAGCCCTCAAAACTTGGCTGGAACACAAAGTCTTGGCTCTGATCTTGGCTTTGAAGGAATACCATACTTGCTGTACCATTTTCTGTTTGGGCACACCACGGTATCAGCAGTTTTTTTTCTTCTTTTTTCTGATGCAAGTGTTAACTAGGAGAAACAAACTGTGGCTGAAGGGATTTCTAAGCCTCTAGCTATCTGCATTCTGCAGTTGTATGATTGAAGGCTTGTTGTCTCTGAGAGTTTTGGGATTCAAACTATATCCAGTGCAAGTTACGACACTACTTGTACTGTAGATCAAGAACCAACCGACGAAGGCCTCACAGTTTATTCGAAATTGATTGATAGTTGGATGCAGAATCCTTGCATGTTTCAATAAAGTTTTACAAATCTCTCTTTTAACAGAAACTCAAATAAACTCGAGACAAACGTGACCTTAAACAACACCAAATCATGAATGCCCTTTTCCTGATGTAATTGCCAACACAGCAAAACTATCCAGCCCTAAAAAAAACTTTTATCTTTTTGCCAAATGGAGACATGAGCATAGGAGTTCAACCGCGCAACATCAAAGGAACCCCATTATGCGATTACTTGAAAGCGCCAAACTGGTATTGTTGACTGCCGCCGAGGCTAGAGAAGAATTGGTCTGCTCCTGTTCCGGCAGCAGGGGTTGACTGTGGCTGTGAAGATGCAAACCCAGACGAAGGTCCTGTCGTAAACCCTGACATGCCGAGACCAGACCCTGATCCCATTGCCCTCCCCATGTAAAATGTTGGGGGTGCTGCTGCCGACTTCTCCTTTTCTTCTTGTCCTCCACCGAGATCGCCCATCACTCCAACATCAACCAGGGATATCTTCTTGGCTGCATTAACAACAACAAATTGTTTGAATTGTAACTGCAAGAAATATCTGAACACCACCATTCCACATTTCCTCTGTTTATGTCCTCTATTAGTTTCGTCGAATCAATTGATACTCAGAGAGACATACGTACAAACACCATCAGACAAAAGAGCTAAGAAGAGATGTTACTTACGTGCAGATATGTTGAGATCGATTATCCCACGGCTCAGCGAATCAGCCCAGATCCCAGATTTCACCTGAAAATTCTGGTTTTTTGGTGGAAGCTGTGCTGGATTCTCAATTGTGCCAGCATCACTTGTAGGTGGATTCTTAGTAGGTTCCGTAGTACCTGAAGTGGTACTAGAGCTGAAGTCGCCAAAAAGATCAGATCCATCGAAACTGTTTATCGGGAGTGCAGCAAAAGGGTCTACAACACTGGTAGTTGCAGCATTGAATTCCACAGGCTTTTTGGACTCTGGCACAGCTGGTGGTTCGCCGGCAGAAAAAAAGTCAATTGCTGATGGAGCAACGGCAGCAGCAGCCGGTATGGCAGGTTGAGAAGCAAACAGATCAACCTAAGTCTCACCAAACAAGAAGAAGAAAACCCTACAGCTTTAGCCACCTGATTTTTGCAAACTCATTCCACCTAACCATAAATAAGGCATGTAACGTGAATTCTAAAGGACAATCATGTCCACCTTTGCATTAAATTCTAAGCTGCTTTTCTTCCTTGGTGCTGGTTATTGCAGGTTTACAGAAGTTCGGCAGAATGAGATTGTAATAAAGTGAAATTATATTACTAGGTCCTACCAGGACAATTCTATCTTTTGGTAGGTTTAATCTCCAGACTCCAGCAAGATGTACATTATGGAGACAGATAAATAATCCACTAAACTCTGCCCTTATAACTCATTGCAAATAGTCCTTTTCCAATGAAAAAGAAGGCACCAATCACAGAACAAAGGTCCATGTTTCTCTTTTATGTTCAAACAGCATATTGAATTGTATCTCAAATTTATGCAGAGAATCGAGGTGTGCCAATATCTAACCTGTGCTTGAGGACTTGGTACCTTGTCGACCTGAGGTTCTGCTGATACAAAATCTGCATCAGCAAACAGATCAACATCTGCAGAACTGCCGTTCTTAACAGAGGTTTCTGCAGGAACGGATGTAGGTGCATCCAAGAGATCCCCCACCAAACTCTGTCCAAACAGATCGACCTGGCTAGAGATTTCAGCAGTCGACTCTGCCAATTATGGAGACAATATGCAAAAGAAAAAAACAATAATATGCACCTATATAGAAAGAATCTAGGAAATCTAGTATATCAGATGGTGCCATGAGAAAAAAAAAAATTATAATGGGAAAAAATAGCCACTTACTACTTCTCGAATTTCCCCGTGGATCAAAATCATCATCCAAGTCATCATCAATAGAAATTGAATTTGGTTTACTAGTCTCTCTCAAGTTTGCTGAAGTTTTCGATTCATCAGGCGAAAACTTAGGCTGGCCCTTGCTGTAGTGAAAGCAATTCAAACCGGGAAAATAAAAGTCAGACTGAGAGATCAAGATGCAATACACCAGGGTACAATCTATGCTTTTAACTGTATACTACAATAAAAAAACCTTAAGAGCCTTCAGAATTGTCAATTGCAGTTCAATTCAGACGTAAACGAATATGTAAAAATCCTCCAACAGAAAGGAGACTTTGTTTCAAACCTGCGTAAGCCAGTAGAGCCCTTGTTTACGTTGCTTCCACTATTACCATCAGCATCACGTCGTGGTACATATGCATCCTTATCGGTCTTTTTGTAGCTATCTTTGAAACCATCAGTATCTCTCCCACCACCGAAGCCCCCATATCGATCACTACTACTATAGCTGCTACTACCAAATGAGGCTGAACTTGCCCTGGAAGTGATTCCAGAAGACGAAAGACCAACATACCTAAGGATGGCCAGGTATAAAGATTCAGTAAATAAAGCACTTAACCAAGCAAAGCAGATACAAGTTATAGTTCCCAGTCCTTAAAGCAAAAAACTCACTTGTCACGATTGGCAGCAGCTTTATTCCTTGCTTCCTGTATCTTCTCCTGGTTATTCAGAAGCCCTACGATAGTTTCAGCCTTCTTCCTCACATTGATCCCCACGTCCTTCCCGCTTGGCTCAACATATTCAAAACTTGTAAGCGACTGAGCCCACGAACATAAAAGGTGACAGAAAGTTATAAGAGCAAGTTACAGATCCACAAAAACCCAGTGAAAACAAGAGAGTTACTAGTAGTTCTCACGGAGATCTGAAAAGTGTGCTCTATAATGTCATCCACAGCGCGCTCTGAACCATGTGCCACCAGATACTCTATGACAGACAATGCCTGGCACCGAACCAATTTAGTTAATACACACTAAAGGGTTGTGGAAAAAGAAGATAACTGTTGCAGTGACTGAGATAAGAAAGCTTTTCTGTTCCCTTTGCAAACCTTGTAGACAAGACGCCAATCTTTGCCCGTCTCGCCCAATCGCGTCCACAGCACATTCATAATCATCTGGCATTCAGTGCTGAAGTAAATTGATATGACAACACATTAGAAATTCAACCAGGAATGAATCGGAAAAAAAGGAAGAGAAAGCATTACAACATAGCAAGTAGAAAGTACAAAGAACTGACAATTTCCTGGTAGCCAGAGAAATCTCTTGCAACGCAGTGCCATGAGGCCCCCATGGCTCATCGTTCGTGGCATCCAGTACCTTCACGAAAGGTAACAGATAATTTGGAGCAGGGGATACACACACCATAGAGAGAACAATCAGAGAGGAACCCAGCTCCCTAATCATTCGATTGAAATTAACCAATAAGAAAAGCACAAACACTGAGTTAACTACCTTCTGTTCGATTTCAGGAACCTTCAAAACCTTGAGATTAACTTCTCGCTTTCTGAAAGGCAAGCCAAAAGGGTTAACGAATGAGTCGAGAAATGAAAAGGACGATGGAGGGGGAAATGGCGGGTAGAATGGTAAGCTCACATTTCGCGGACAGTCTGATCGATTACTTTCATGAAATCCATGGCAGACGGATCTGTGAAATCGAAGAACAGAAACCCATAACTTCAATTTGAATTATATAAAAACCCAGAAGGGGACATTAGATCTAGGGAGCGAGGGGGCACCTTGGAGTTCAGATCTTGCGAAGCAATGGATATGATGATGATGATGCGGCTGCTTGATAGTCGAATTCTTTTCAAATGTTTTTGTTAATGAGATGATAATGATATAATTTTCAGGTGAATCGAGAAGGAACGGAGCCGGGAAAAGGCTCCTCCGTTCCCGTCGGTACTTCCGTTTGGTTTTGTTTCTTTTCTCCGTTCGTTTGGTTTTCGGGTTTGGAGGTTTTTCTTTCTTGCCTTTTCAACACTCACCTTTTCATTCTTCTCATCCGGTCTCTTTCTCTATTCGTGACCTTGTGAGTGTTTGGTTCGCTAAAAAAACACTCCTAAACGGACATACTTTTCCATTCATGTGGTGTTTTTGGCTGTGGGGGTGTGCAACAATTGGTATCATATCAAACTAACATTTGGATTGGATCATATTGGTTAAAAAGTAAAGTGATTAGATTTTTTGTTTCGTAAAATTTGTAAATACTGAAGAAATTATAGTTTGGTATTTGTCAGATCAAATTGGATTCAAAGTAATGATAGTTTGGTTCCTAATTCTGATATTGTTTTTACTATTATATAGTTGTTATCGCTGTTTGGCTTGGCTCGTATTGAACCGGACAACTGCACATCTATAGTTGGAGTTTTTAACATTTATTCGTATGAGTTATTTGGGTGCAAATAACCCGTTTGTCTACAAAAGTTGGTGATGAGTTATTTGTAGTTGAGTTAATTTGAAATAACTCATTAATGAGTTACTGTCAATACCTTGACTCGCTATGACACAACTACCTAACAATGGCCAAGTGTGACCAATGAAAGGGACTGCAGTATAGTGGCTCAAGTAATAAATATCGAATCCACGAGTCTCTAGAGTTACTATTACTCAGCTTCAGTTCATTATCTAGCAAAACAGATTAAGATGAAAGAACTAAAACTACTCTAGCAAACTACAGTTAAAGTTATTCTAATTACAGGTTGGGAACTCACTTAGGTATGATTCCCCCTAGCCACTAGCCAGATTAATGATTGATGATCTCTAACCTGTTTCACTTTCATTCACAATGCGAATCCTTGACTAGACCTTGAGTCTCGACTAAAGGAACAAGGCCCTCTTGAGTCGATTGCCTAGAGGGACGTATCCTTCTCTAGAACAACCGATCAAGGCGTTTTGAACTAGACTCCCTCTATCGAAAGAGGTTCTCAATCGATACAAAGCAGTGAATCAACCCTCAACTAAAGCAATCGATCCACTACTATCAATCTATGGTGCTCTATTGACCTAATCAGGTATTCGCTCTCATAGGATCAAAGCAGAATCAATAATCTCGACTAAAGCAGAATTGAATCGTGAAAACATGCATAGATTGAATATGAACTCAAGATTATCAAGTCAGAGTACTCATACAATCATCCAATCAAACAACCATAGCTAGGGTTCCTCAAAACCTAAGTGAAGGGAAGTTACTCCATAGAGAAGAGAGAGACTGCAGTAAGAATCTTCAGATGATCAGTCTTCAAGTCCGGGCTTGTTCCTCGAGCTTCCAAGGCGAAGAAATCCTCCAATTCCACTCCGAGAATGCCCTCAAATCGCCCTCTCTTTCTTTGGTTCGTCCCTTGGGTGTTTGGGATCCAAAACCCAGCTCTCCCTTGCAAAAACGCACAAAACCGGCTTTTATCAGCTGCCCTCGCGATACCCGGTCGAAATACCCGGTCGGGTATTTTGGGTCTCGACCGGGTATAATTGAAGCGCACCGTTTCGTCCTCAGGGAAAATCCCCGGTCTACCACCAAAATCCCCGACCGGAGATTTAAGGCCATCGCCCGGGCCCCCTTCTGCTTCTCACGGGTGCCAAAAACGATAAATACCCGGTCGGGTATTTTGCCATCCGACCGGGTATTTTCCTCCTGCAGCCCCCTTAGTCCCAACTCGGCTCCTTTCGACCCAGAACTCGTTTCTCCGCCTCGATTCCAACGCCGGGTCCTGAAATATGACATAAACACACAACCTAGCGTGAAATCGGCTTAAAACACGAGATTCCACATCACAAACGGCTTCAGAATAGGGGTGAAAACATGTGCAATTATCGGTCTATCAAACTCCCCCACACTTAACCGTTTGCTTGTCCCCAAGCAAACCAAGTCAGACACTAGGTAAGCTTAAATATTTCAATCAACCAACATTGGGGACAAGTCATAAAGGCACAAAACACGTTAATCGCACTGGTTTTCAAACATCAATACATGCACAACCTCAATAACAACCTGGACAACCACCACAAAGGACATTCGAGTGCAGCAAATCGAGTAAAGGAAGAGTCTCCCGTATGTTCACTGGCCAACCTAGACTTGATTCAACCACTTACTCAAAACAGTCAGCTCATGCATCCAACTCAAGACATCATAATAGAGACCGAGCAATCTAGGTCCTCACCGGGGTACAAGAGCGTATAGAAAATGAAAATGAATCACTCACTCTCGACCAGTGGGGTCAGGACAATTTGATGCGAAAGATGCGCATGCTATTTCTCTCAATACCTATCATCTCTTCACCATGATGGCAGCCTCTAAATGCTAGAGTTCACATGTGGGGTGTCACCACTAACTAATCAGGAGGTCTTAGACACAGGTTCAAATGACTGGCTAGGGTCTTGGACATGGGGAAAAGGCCTTTTAAGTGGTGGAAGTATTCATAGCAAAAGGTTCCACATTTTCCAAACACACAATCACAGTCAAACAACCCGGTATTTTCTTTCTGCTATTCTGCATTACTCAATATCTTAAGAGCACAAGAGCGAAGGAGGCATAAACATCAGTATTTCCAAGCCAGACTGCTAAGAAACACTACTTACTGGGCATTATTCAGATTTTTAGTAGTGGCTCTCTTTTGCTTTCAATTTTTTTCTTTGTTTTTCTTTCATTTTTCTTTTCATTTCTTAAGAGAGCCACCACTCCTGCACATATTTCAAACATCCGCCCAACTTTTAAGCACTACCTCCAACACTCACATAGACTTTAGCAGATTTATAAAAAACCACACTGTGGAACCTTCTACAAGATGCAACAAGGGTGATTTTTTCCATTATAGACCAAAAGAAAGGATAACACACGGCTCAAAGGGGCTAACTAGGGGATATGACACATCAGGACAGTCAGTTTTGGGCGTGGGCTAATCCTATGCCCCCATCATTTTAGCTAGTGACAACGTGAATGCTACACATCATGGAAGAGGGATCTATCGCACAAGAAAGAAACGAGCCGGCTCAAATCTCACATGGCTACCTATATGCTCTATCTCACATTCTGATACCCTGAACTAGATGCATAAACGACTGTCAAGGACAAGTAATCAGATCAAGTCAGATCAAGTCACAGTTGGCAAGCAAACAGTTGAAAAACTGAACCCCTACATCGTTCTACTGCACATCTCAGTCCTCATCATAGGTTGTCCTAGTCGCACACAAGTTGGCATGCATTAATTCAAAAACCAATCAACTCATCTATCAAAACACAGTGCCAATATGATCAAACAGCAGTACTTGGAGCCCTCAAATCGTAAGATTCGGACAGCGGACTAGGCTCCAAGCACCATCGTAATTATTCCAACCGATATAAAACATCCCCCCCACACTTAAGCACGACATTGCCCTCAATGGAGTAGAGGGAGAGATAAGGGGAACGATGTTACCGGGTCAAGGGTGAATGATGGTGGACGAGGCAGGCGGTGCATTCCATGAGGAGAGAGTGGTCGAAACACAAACACCACACAAAATCTCACAAAGGTTGAGTTATGGACTCTAAAATCAAAGAACAAAACTGACTCAACCGAAGAGAAATAGGGAAAGAAATGCAAACCGACTGGTTGGGTTGCCTCCCAACAAGCGCTTCGTTCACGTCGTGAGCCAGACGATGGCTCCTAAGTTTCGCTCCATGCTAGAACCTCCTTGAAGTTGAGGTTCTCGTCGATGAGGTGGAGTCTCAAGTCCCGAGCATGTGGTGCGGCAGGTGATGAAGGCTCGTGTACTTGATGCAGATGAAGTCTCCACCCTCGAGACCTCTTCTTCTCTTCTCTCGTCTCATTGCCCCAAACCAGATAAGACAGCATCGATTGGCCACCATCGCGTCCACCAAGAGGGACCGATGTCGATGTGGCCTTGGTCTGGCAAAGAGACACTGCAAATGGGTCCTTGCTGAGCAATTCCTCGAAGTTTGGTGGAGATATCACATGTAACTCATGGCCGGTGCAAGCCTCTTCCACCTCAACTTCGTCCTCAGCCTGGACGCCAATTGCTTCTTCAACCTCCCTTTCTTCTTCATGTGGTATCACCCCTGGGAAATGATCAAGAATTCCTCCTGCTTCGCTTTCGTCATCCTCCACAACCTCTTTCTGCACCCTTTCTTGCTCTTCTTCTTCTAGCACGGATTGGAGAGCAAGTTGCCAAGCAATTTCTTTCATGAGATCTTCTTGCATCTCCCCACTCATGCCCACCTCTTCAAAGCTCAGTGTGGGATGTGGGAAAGGGTGGCCGGCTACGACAGGACATTCCTGATCATGATCATCACGGGAGCTCTCCGTGACAACTTCTGTGTGCTCCACAATGTCCTTATAGCCTTCTTCTTCCTCGTCCTCTTCTAGTATGGTAGCAGACGGGTGATCTTGAGCAAGTTGTGAGCAAACTTGCTCCACCCACTCTGTTTGCTTCGCTGAGCGTTGAGCAGCCTCCTCCATATCATGGAGATATGAGGGATCGGAAGAGGAAAGGGCTTGGATGTGAAGATCCATTCTGCGATTGCGTCTCTTGGAGTCCCGAACAAACTGCTCCAGGAGAAGCTTCAGTTCATAGTTTGGATCTGGCTGTGGAGTGTAGCATGGCTCTGCAGAATGGCCCGTGAAGGCCGCCATGGGTAACTCCAGCGCTGATGGCCCTTCTGGTTGTGGGAGAAAGTCTTCTTGGTAATGAGATTGTTCTTGATATGCCCAGGGGTCAGATTGTTCTCCATAGTAAGGGGGTTGGTACTGGAACCCGGATCCATAGTCTTCTCCTCCTTGATTGCTCCAGGGTGTCTCGGGGTAATACCACTCAGATGGTGGTGGATACCCCCAATGGTTGGAGAAGCCATGAGGATCCATGATTCAGATCTGCACCAACAAAAACAAAAACACCCAAGTGAAAAGCAAGGGTGGAAAAGAAAAGAAAAACGCTAAAGTAACAAACTTCTGCCTTTCCTAATACTCTAGAAAGTCCCCGGCAACGGCGCCAAAAACTTGACTCGCTATGACACAACTCCTAACAATGGCCAAGTGTGACCAATGAAAGGGACTGCAGTATAGTGGCTCAAGTAATAAATA